GGAGCTTGCTATCATCCTGTTTCGGGAGAGCGGGCTGGTTCTTTTGTGCCTTTAGCTGCGAGGATATGATAGCTGGGTCAACTGGTGCGCCCTTCACAGTCGACGAGGCAGTTGGTGCTCGTCTTGCCGGGGGAGTATACTTGTTCTCTCGGCTATTAGGCAAAGGAGGAAAGTCCTGTCGCTTGACACCGCTATACCTATTTCCGAGTTAGCCGGAATCTGGTGATATGTATAACATGATCTGACTTACTTCTCTTCTTCGTTACCACCTACATCCTCGCCTCCAGCATGATCCATAACTCTCTCTTCAGCTACATGAGCTGTGGCGGCAGCGCTTCGCTCGATCTCTCTCGCCTTCTTTTCCGCAGCAGCCACCCTCTCCTTGTACTGTGGGTGGCTTTTATCAATTGCGGTGGTGTAAATATTTTCATCATACGTAGTTTTAATACCAAATTGGCGCTCGTTAACAGCAAACTGATCCCACGGAGCGTCGCCACTGGACTTCTCCAGGCTCAAGTCGAGCCCGTCGGAGTTGCTTGGCCCAACCCATGGCTGCAAAGGTCGCTCACGACCCGGACGAGACGAGGATATAGCACTGTCGGTTCGGAAGTTGCTCTGCGAGTTGATCGTCGAGCCTACACCATTGTTAGTGCCATACGTGATAATAGTTAACCAGTAGGGCATACCATTATGCTTAGCATCACCTTTACCCGAATTCCCCGCCATAACTCTGGTATCCGACATATCCTTCTTCTGAAAGGACACGGAAGAATACTCTCTCTTGCTAATTCCGTTCGTCGACTCGCCCGAAGTTTTCTTCTGCTGCACCATTCTCAGGGAACAGATGAGAGCGGTCAAGTGCCAGGAGATACTTTCGAATTCGACACACTTGACAAAGGTAATCCGAACCCTTCCACCCTGCACCAGATGGTTAGTTAACGAAAGGAGAACCAAGGTAAGCAATCGTAAGGGTATTGTGGTATTATGTTTGTAGTGCAATTGGCGGATTTAGAGGTGAGTGGGAAGGTTGCGGTTCGGGAACAGCTAGCGCGGATCTGAGGGAAGAAGGTGGAGGTGACGCGAATCCAAGCCCGACGTATGACAAGAAGCTCGACGTCGCAAGAAGGTTAAGCTAACTCACTTGCTCGAAGGAATCGAATGAAGCTTGCTTGCCCTGCTAAGACAAACTTTGCTTAGTTGGGATTCGGGGTGGTCGAGGTAGTTATGGTGACAGTGCTGCTTCTGGCCGATATCCAGACCTTCTGCCAAGTAGCAGTTTGACTGTAGATAAAAAAAAAACGGCTGGACGTCAGCGCATTAGAAACAAGAGGGTAATAGAAAGAGCGCAAAGGTGGGAAGTGTGTCGAAATGCGGAAAAACTATGAGCAGCTGGCTGCCACGAGGGAATGATTGCGAATAAGACAAAGAGGTGAATGCTCTAGAGTGTCGAAGCAGAAAAAAAAAGGTGCTTTGTTGACAGGGCCAACTGCAGAAGGGATTGGGAGACTGGAAGTAACCGGTAAAAAAAAAAGTGGTCAAGGTCGCTGGCTCGTTCGCTCTTCTCACACATCAATCCAGTCCTGTTCTGTGTTCCTCACTGGCAGTCTGGGCAGCACACGGCCTCGTCAAAAAAGGGCAGGGCAGTGCGGTGCGGACCAGCAGCTGGCCACGGATGCCCATGTAACTTGAACTAAAATAATAGATATAGTGCTTTGGTGCTGGGTACTGGGTTGCTGGGCAATACTTTTTTTTTTGGTAGTGCTGTGTGCTGTGCTGTGCTGTGCTGTGCTGGGCTCGGCTGGGCCAGGTACTGCAGAGAAAGGGTCGTGTCTCACCTCGGGCTAATTGGTCAACTACTTTTCTCCCTTCGGCAACCCCCAGCTCAGTGCTGTAAGATGACCTCGTCGCAGAGGACGCTGCTTCTTCAGGTGCTCTGGTCTAAAGAGCGACGGTTAGTCAAGTTGGAGAAGGAGTTGATGGGAAAGTGGAGGTTGTGGTTGTTAAGGTGTCGAGGCCAACGAGTTACATAGCGTTTTCTGTGGGTACTTGTGGGAGACTGCGAGACTGGAGACTGCGAGACTAGGACCTCTTTCCTTTTGATAGGTATGTGTAGATGGTCCAAGCGTCTTTTCTGGCAGCGGGAAGCGAGGCCTTATGTACTTGCAAGGCCTTAATTGGATAAGTTGAGAAAGGTGGTCTGACTGGCGCAACTCGCAGGTACGATGGTGCGGGAAAGTTATCTAAGGTAAGGTAAAAAAGAGGATTTTAAGGTTTGCACTGTATAATTCTGGACAATTAGGGCACAATTAGTACATTTTAGACTTTTTGTTAAGAGGTGCTCAACGCTGTAAGTTAGCGTAGAGACAGTGCTATCATACCGTATGAGGTAAGTACCTAACCTTGGTTTAGGAGCTAGTTAGTTGGTTAATTAACAAGTAAGTTAAAGAAGGGAATGTTTTTTTTATGTCTTGCAATTGAATAAGGTAAGTTTTATTATGACTTAAAATCATGAATGGTTATTTTTAACCAATAGGATATCTTTAGAAATGTGAATGCAAGAAAGATGTGGAATGTCGTCGTTTAAGGTATCAAATAATTATATAACTACATGCAGATATGTAGAGAGTTTCCCCTCCAGCCCCTCCTAGGTAATAAGCCACTAAGGGGGGGGTACATAGAGATGGGGTCCAAAGAAGTAGTAGTAGGAGGTAGGTAGTTACACCAGTTGACATCAGTTGGAGGCCAGTTGATTCGTTAGGTACCTATTACACACAAATGTACAATGTACAATTTACGTGATACCTTCGTTGTGACATAGGCACATCAGGTATATATTCGTACATCTCGTAAATTTAAAGCTATGTGATTACGTAGTATGATGTTTAATAAGGACAAGACCTTGACACCTACCTATCATGGTGTGATTATGGTATTACATATAGCTCAGCTGAGAGACCGCGAACACGGCACTAGCGTTGGCAGTGGCTTGCGTCTGAAAGATTATTCTAACACTCACATTCTAATAATTATAACATGGAAATAGGTAATCACTATACCAATGTTAGTACATCTACTATCTACATAGGTAGTGTAGATATACCCATGTTAGAGAAGCATCGGATGTTATTGACTATAACTAGCGGCAAAGTTCATTCTGCCCAACATTTTAATTTGGCATTGCCCTTTCGTGTCAGTTGGTAAAGATTGAGGCCAGCTTTCAAGACCAGGTTGAATCTAACGCTTTTCGAGGACAACCTTCCAACTAATATTTATCCCTAATGAACATCATCGTCATCGAAAACTGATCCCTAGAATGCCAAGATCAACAGTCTAATAGTCCAATATGAAACATCCTCGAAGGGAATTCATAGGTAGGTAGGTAGTTTACCGATTAGGTAGTTCTAGGTTGATACCTCGGTATGAGGTACCTACCGAGATATTCTTATTTTAACTAGGTACATCACTTGCAAAATATATTACGCAGCTTCTCTCTTATACTAAACCCTTCGGTACACGTCAGGTTCATAATTAGGCCGTAATATAAGGCAACACATTGGGCACACAAGAGCCTCTACTTCGAGGCGAAGAGTGAATATTCAAATGTTTCACAGAGCCTCGTTTGTAGGTAGGCAAACGACCTTAAGGTAGGAGCCATTTCATACCTCTACATAGCCCCCCGGTTACATGGTAGTTAGAGCCGATTGGAGTTCTAAGGGTCCTTAGGGCTCTTAGGGCTGTAGAAGGCGTGGATGAATAACGCCCATGGGGCGAGCCAAACCAAGTCCTTAAAGGGTTGACTTGCTTCAGGTTGAGAGAAGTATTCGTGATGCACATGCGTGACTATTAAACAATCTAAAGAGTCCCATATCATTATTTATTATAGTTGTTGGTTATAAGGTTACTACTCATTGGTTACTCGTCATTTACCTTAATAAGTATCTGATGGTATTTAGATGTAAAGATGAAGTTGACTTTGAAAAGATAGCCTCCCAAGGGAACCCCAGTCAGATCGGCAGCGCTAGATGACCCCAAATTCTAAACAAACTCGTTCTTTGGCATCTTTGGGTTAGCTCCGCGATAACCTGACTCACTATTGGTCTTTCGGAAAGCAACATCTTTCACTACCTAAAAGAGATCTCTTCGTTTGCCGCAGAAATTGGTCAGACTGCGCCCCGCGGGATCGAAACCGCAAGTGCCGAGGCTTTTCGAACAAAGATTAAATATGGAGGTTCATGGTGAGGTGAGGGGCATAGCCAAAGGATTCATGAGGCTCGGATGCCATTACCACTCTGACAGTAGCCCATTGTAACCCTAGGGCTATACTATACCGGGGGCCAAACATCATGACTTTTTTTTTTTTTTAAAAAAAAAAAAAGTTATAACCAAGTGAAATCTGTGCCTTGTTTGATGCGTTCCACGATGATAGATCAGTCGTAGGTTATTGACCGAGCAGTCGTTTGATAGGGGCCCCTAAGGTTTATTATTGGGAGCGTGATCTAGTCAGTTTGCTACTTCATCGGGTATGTAGTCTCACCTCATCGCTCGAGATAATTCATAGGGACCCGTTTGTATTCACCTACAAGAGACAAAGAATAAGAAAATAGATCTGCAAAGCTAAGCCCCCCACCCCGGTATAATGTCTCCACGCTGTGGGAGTTCCCGTCCGATCATAGTCACATCGAACCTGATTTAATCGGATGAGGTTCGCAGTAGATGATGTCTCGCTCGCAACGATGAACCTCGCCAATCTCTGCACCTGAAACAAAAGACACATGAGATACCACGCTAAGTAGTACGCGATGCTCTTTTTTTGGTTAATACGAGTGGCTGATGGTTACGGGTTTGTGTGATGGTTGCACGCCATAATTCCGAGTTATGACATTGAGATAACGCAAGACAGAAACCTATATACTATTATCATCTAAGAGGGGATCTAGGCCTAATAAAATCCATGTGCTTAAATACGCTAAACTCCGATTTAGTATGAATGGGTATGATGTTCAGCTTAAGAACCAATTCTTGAAGAACCAATATGAATTAATGAGTCCCCAGGCTAAAGGATGGAAGGCTGTCGGCGTCTTTGCCTTGGCGTGCTCTACCATCACTTTAGGTACAACATCCCTCATATTTTCCTCGCTGAAAAACCACAGCTTCGTAACCTCGTCCGTCTGTCGTTGGTATATTTCCATACGCTTAAACATATCCTCCTCGGCCGTTTGTATTTCCTTATCGACCTCATCTAGCCCGCCGCCCGCTTGGATTGCCCTGATGATTGCGGCGGCGAGTTTTCGCGCATCATCAAACGCAGCGTTCACTCCTTCGCCAGCAAACGGGGTCATCAAATGTGCGGCATCGCCAATGAATGTTGCGCCGCGGCGGTGCTCCCAGCGCCAGCCAACCGGAAGCATGTATAGATTCTTCGCTTCGCATATGCCTTCTTGGACCTTTTCGATCGCTTCCCGCAGCTGTGGGCTCCAGTCGTGCATTTCCTCGAGGATTGCTTTCTTAACTTGATCGACATTATGAGGGTTATATCCGCAGGTCTGCGTCCAATTTTCGGGACGACGCGAACACCAGGCGACACTCAGGCTACCGGTGCCGAGCTGCTGTACCCCCAACCTCTGCCCATTCGAGCTAGCAAACAGGCTCCCGCGATTGACAACTTTATAGAGATCTGGCGCGGTGTTTGCCGCATCTGGTATCCGGAGACCATGATATCCAACCCCGGTATAGTGTGGTTTCACCGTCGGCGAAACGTAACTTCGGACCTTACTCCAGCCTCCCTCGCACCCAATTACGAGATCGGAACCGGATACTGTTGTATGGTCAAAGACCAAATTGTTCCCTTCTTCGACACGTCTTAGACGATGACCCCATTTGATGCTTCCCTCCGGGAGTGATTCCGCTAAGATCCGGCGTAGCTCAGCACGGTCAATTTCAGGCCGCTCGCTGAGCTTATTGCCAGGACCGAACTGTATGAATGGCTTAAGTTCTTTGTCGGCCATCATCATATAGTCGCCGTCGAATCGGCCGTGTTTTAAGAATTCATCCCATAATTGAGCGTCATTCATCGCCGCAAGGCCCGTGCCCGGGTGTAAATCTAACGAGCCTCCTTGAGAACGATAGTTTGGACTCTCATCGCTTTCATAAACTGTGAAAGGGATATTGGACAATGATAAAATCCGTCCAAGCATACACCCGGCTGGGCCAGCCCCAATGATGGAGATGTTTAGAGGAGACATCGTTCCGCCTATGTGACGGTTGAAGTTGAATATATGATGATGATGTATAAACTAAGGATGTTGCCTTTATATCAGTCTATAGCAACATGTAACTGGGTTTGGGTTTGGGTTTGGGTTTGGGAGTCTCCCCTAAAGTTGAGGATGCTTCCCCAAGATATAGCAATTTATTAATCAATAGACTATAACACAAGTAAGTACATAGTGATGAATTTAACCCCGTAACTATTTCCATAACTATTAAAAATGGCAACGCTGACGCGTCTTGTATAAGTATTAACTATTTCTAGTCGTATCTTGCGGTTTCAATCTGTAAAGCGGGGCTCGCTCGGTGCTCGGAGGGCAGTAATCGACATTTAAATCCCGAAGATGGTGTTCTTGTAGAATAGGTTAGGTAGGGCTGTGGAATATGTGGGAAGTCTCGTACCTCGCAACTATATACATGGAGCCTCAATTAAAACCGAGTGTTATACATACCAGTAGATGCCTAAGGTAAGTATGTATTACGTCAGGGTAAGTCGATATAAGGCATAGAGATGTTCAGCTCTGCCACATCGTACTTAGCCGAACTCGTATTTAAAACTACTGCTTACTTTCAGCAATCATTAAAACTTTTTAGGTCCCGTAGCTGTAAACACCGAGTGAGTTACCAATATTACCTGTTATCAAGACGTACCTTATGTATGGTTGTCAAATATACCCAAGTCACTCTGTTTGGAAAACCTACCTAGGTACGCTAGCAACCCGGTTGTTTAGCTTCAATATTCTAGACAATAATATAAATACCTAGGTAGTCAACTAAGTAGATTTTAGCAAATAAAAAAAAAGTATACTGTCATTGTACGTAGGCTATTGATGTGAATGTAATTATTTGAAACATTGATTTAGAGTTAGTGGACTTTCTGGGTGCATCTAATACTCATCAGGAAGACCATCAACCCCGGCCCCACCTTTAACCCACTTAACCCACCTAGGAACTTTTAACTTAATCACGCCCCGACCGTCGCCGTGTTTGACCCTAGCCCCCCCTGCGTAGACACCTTTCCAAAATAGGGTTAGCGTTGGTCGGGCTTCCTCGATCTTTTCGACGTCGCGCCTCACGCGGGCATCAGTCATCCACAACTTGACCTCGGATTATGACTTGCTCGACCACTTTCCATCGCAACCGTTCCACATACGCCAATTTTGATCATCATATTCCCTTTGCGTAACTCACTATAGCTTCTCATTTTAGCTCATAGCCTTCGATTACCCTTTACGATAAATGTCAATATTTCGTGCTTGCTTCTCCAGATATTAACATAGAGTGGACGATCCCGAACATAATCCTAAACCGATAAGGAATAAAGAAGGGGGAAGGGTATAAGGTATATAGAGAATTAGGAAGTTGAGAAGGGCTAGGCTCTGGAATTGAAGTCAAGATGCAGGCTCCTACTGCTTCTCAGAGATCAATACAACGACGGTCACCGGGGCCCGACGGTATTCCCAATGCTCCTATGCGCCCAATGTCGCCAGCCGGTATGCAGCCGCGCTCGTCAACGGCTTCGAATAGATCAGCTGCGAGTAGTTCCTCTAGACGTAATGTAAGTTAATACTGTTAAAAGTTAGAAATGCGTAACCGGTGTAATTATCGGTTGCTAGGCGGGGGAAGGCGGTGTTTTAATCTTTCAATATTCTGCCTCATTCTTGTTTGCCTTTCAACCCATCCACCTTTCTTCTTCTCTTCTTGTTATTTTCCCTCTTTTTTCTTTTCACGCTATGTCCGTTCTTACCGAGTTAAGATGCTAACCGTATGTTCGTATTGGCAGCAATCTAATGGATCGTCTATGCCACTATCACAAATAGAAAAGAGCGTCACGCATCTACTCGTCGCAACAAAACAACTCCTCGAAACGTTAACGCAATGGTCGCGCGGTCAGGCTACCGATACTCAGGTCTCTGACGTCTATGTTAGATTAGGCTATGAGTTTAATATGGCCTGTCGCGCATTCACTGCAATTAACGTTGATACATCTGACCTAGGGAACGTCCCAGAAAACCTAAGACATATATTGGAGGCTACTTTAAGCCAGGAAGCTAACACAGAGAGCCTCGAAAAGTATCTGCCACGAATACGAGACATTATTATCCATCTTTTACACGGTCTGAAGAGAAAACAACAGAAACTGCGACAGAAGCAGAGTCGAGATAAAGACGGAGCTACCTCACCTGAATCAACTAGTATTGCTAGCCGTACTATGAGCAGCAGCACGACCGGAAGCAACAACACTGGTCTCACCAGTCTTTTAAACGAAGGTCTTGAGAACGGATACACTACCCCACAACAGAACGAAAGAATGGCACAATCGCAGCAGAACGAAGGCCCGCCAGCGGTCAGCCAGTCCCCTAATCGGCGAACCCTGCAGCGAGACCAGTCCAACGCTTCTTTCAACTCCGAACAGTCATCACTGTCGAGTAACACCATGCAGAACATACCGGTGCTCCCGCCGTATCCTGGGGACGAGACAACGATACCTACAGGACCTGCAGGAGGCATAGATATTGACTCATTCCCACCACCTCCTCCGCCGCCACCAAAGTCGCAACAGAGCGCGTTTGCTGCTCTGCAAAGAGGAGGAGATTTAGAAAGAAGGGCGTCACGAAGATATTCCGCTTATCAGATATCCAAACATCTAGGAGCACCAACCAATGGCGTGCCTATGCTACCTTCTCAGAATACCCCAATACCAAATCGTGGACGTGGGGAAGTAAGAGAATCGATGCGAGCAGTTCAAGTCCGAGAGTCTCTGCGACATAGTCGCAACGCATCAAATCAATCCAAGAATGCGTATGAAGCATCTTCGCCGGTTCGAATACCTAGCAAGGTTAGCGAGGAAGGCTCGAAACCCGATCTACCACCCCCTCGATCGGAAAGTCCGCCGGCTCAGTCACCGGAAGAGAAATATAGACCTAGTGCTACTATATCCGGACCTCTAGACGATGCCTTTCCAATAGTGGGAACCCCGGGCTCGCCCGAGAAGCCAAAACCAAGGGTAGACACGACTATAGAATCCAAACCGCGACCTCAAACCCCTCCGGAAAAGCAGCGCAAGCAATCTATACAAGAGCAATCACCTCCGTTAGATAAGGAACTTACCTTATTTCTGCAATACAAGTCCAAAGTGAAGAAGTTTGTGCTCCCGGAGGGCTATACAGGCTTGACAATTGGGCGCCTGCAACTTGCTTTCATCGAGAAGTTTTCCTGGAACACTGCCCTGAACGGAAGCGACCTCCCAGAGATATATATCCAAGATCCCATCTCTGGGGTGCGACACGAGCTCGAAGACCTATCTGACATCAAAGACCGTACAGTTCTTGCGCTCAATGTAGAGCCCCTTGACGAGGTCAAGAAGCACTTTGACGAGGGTTTTGGGGCCCTAAAGAAAGTAGTAGATGAGATGAAGCAGAACGTTACTGATCAGGGATCTGCTTTACAAAGAGTATCAGATAGGCAATTGGAGACGGCCAAGGAGATGGCTCGTATGGCCTCAGCGCCACCGGCTGTCATGGATGGTGTTAAGGTTAGTGGAGTTGGCGCTGGCGCTAAACTCAATCCTAGTCAACTTAGGGAGTTGCAGACTCTACGACGGGATCTAGCCGTCTTACGACAGACGTACTCAAACTTCCAGACAGAGATACAGAGCTCTATGTCTTCTCTACGAAACAAAGCAGCCAATGTTAAGGTTGCGGCTGCCAAGGCTTCAACACCTGAGGAAGGTGGCTCCGGATATACTTATGTGTCGAAAGGTCGTAAGCAGCTTAATTCAGACTCAGACCGCCTTGTTACCAAGGTGGATGATCTTCAAGACTTAGTTGAGGACTTGCGCAAGGACGTCGTTAATCGCGGCGTGAGACCCTTGCCGCGTCAACTAGAGGGTGTATCCAAGGATATTCAACTCTTGACCAAAGAACTCAAGAAGGTTCAAGAGTACATGAAGCGAGAGAAGCCCATCTGGACCAAGATTTGGGAGAAAGAATTGGAAGAAGTTTGCCAGGGTCGTGACGAGCTTAAGGTTATGGAAGACTTAATGATTGACTTACAAGACGACATCGAAAAGGCCTCTGAGACCTTTGCGTTGGTGGAACAAGCCACTAAGGAGCAGATGAAAGACACTACGCCGACGGCACGGCAGTTCTCGAAGGGCTTGCGTCATCTTGGGAGCGGCTCTGATCCGAACGCTGCAAAAGAAGGTGTACTAGGCGAGGTCAGAGCTCTACAGCCAAACCATGAAGACAGGCTAGAGGCTATAGAACGTGCAGAGAAGTTACGACAGAAGGAGCTGGAGAGCCGGCAAGGAAATCCTTTGATGAAGGAGTTGACTAAGTTCGTCGAGGATGGGAAGCTGAGGAAGAGCGGAGGATTTGAAGAGGTTGAACGAGCGAGGAAGGCCAAGGATGATCGAATACGGCGAGAGGTTTGGGAACGAATGAATGGCATAATACCCGAGGACTCGGTCGAAGAGGATGAAGAGGATGAAGAGGAAGGGGAGGAGGAGGAGGAGGAGGAAGGGGAAGAGGGGGAGGAAAATGATGCAGAGGTAGAAACGGAGACGGAGGCGGAAGCGGAGGCGGAGGTAGAGAGCCCCGCTAAAAAGCCGGACGATGATGATATATAAGGCTATACGCCTGCTCATAAGATGTGCATCTTAGTCTTCGTCTTGTTTCTAGTCATGACTGGCGTTATTCGCGCATAGGTCGGACGACTTTCACTTAGTCGCCCGAACCTTACTTTTGCCCCGACAGCTTATTTATAGTTTTGCCCTTTGCGTTTTAGTATGACCCAAGGTGCTGCTCTTAGCATTAAGAGACAAACGATGATTTTTTCAGTTATTGACTATTGGTCAATGAAATATTTGTTATTAGCAACCAGTAGATACAGTCAAGTCCTCGAGCAAACGAACATGATGCAAATACATCAATCCTTTAATGAACAAGTATAACATTAGACACCGTCGCACAATATATAGGTATTGCATAAGAACCTAAGGTAATAGCTTAAGGCATAAAGGTTTCTTGAAGTTCTACTTTGAATTGGAAACGTAATCAGGGTACCTATATCAGCTCTATTATAGACATAGCATCAAGACCGATACAACAGCGAGGAGACACATTATTCGAATGCTACTCCGTGCAAGTACCCCTTCAGCAGCATTTTCGTCTTCATCCTTCGCCCCATCCGTCCCATCCGTTCCGCCCTTCCCATTTCCCGCACTGCCACCATTGCCACCTGTCGTCGCACTATCCTTCGCAAAGGCCGGGTCGATAGGTCGGGGCCCATCTACCGCCACCCTACTCCCCCGCACGCAGTACTTCTCGGGGTCCGTCCACGACGCATCGACGGCGTACTCCCATACGGGCTCGGGATTAGATATCATGTCTAACGTGTAGAAGAAGCGGCAGTTTGCCGGCTCGTAAAGGAATTGGAGCGGTGTCTTGGAGTCGGAGGGCGCGAAGTTGTTCTTGAAATTTACACCACCGGGCGTGTTTAGGTCGGCAGCTCGCTGCACGGCATAGGCCTTGTTGAGAACCCCGAGATCGCTGTTCTGGGGGGTTTTCGGTTGTGCTTGGCCCTGGCCGGCAACTAGACTGAGCGCTACAAAGGCGGCTTGGGCGATATCGCTCATCCCGAGACTTTGACCTCCCTGTTTTAGTTGCTTTTAGTACAAACTCCTGTTTGTAACTTAGGTCCGGGAACTTACCTCGACACCGCCTAGAGATTGCATTTGTGTATTTTGTGGACGTCCTCCTACCGATACCGTCTTCACGCGCTCTTGGAAGAGCATAAGATATGAGAATGTTGTGCATGTCGAGCTACATGCCCCGTCGGTAAGCAATACAATGTTTTCCGGTTTAAAGGGGCTCGAGGGGGAGGTCGCTTGGCCTCCATTTCCGTTTCCGCTCGCAGCAAGCACACTATAAGGCTCTCCGATGTATTCCGTAAATTTGTCGTTTTGTAGAGTAACCGGCGTCATAATATCCGCAACAGACATAAATTTGTCCCCTTGAGGCTCCGCTACTCCTGTGGGCGAGATGTTATTGAAAAATGCCCCGAATGTTTGTGATGCCTCTGCTTTATCCTGTGGGGAAAGGGATGAGAATATTTGGGATATATCAACCAGACTATCTGCGAGACGCATGTTGTTAGCGGTGAATCTATTGACGCCCGGGAAAAGCTTAGAACGAGTTAACAATATACCAAATTAGCTGTTGTAGATTTTGAGAATTATCGACGAACCTGTGCGAAGAGCGCAAAGCCAGCTGCTATCAAACCACCGCCATTAGAAGTAAGATCGATGACCAGTCGCTGCTTTTTGGTACTTCGGCATTGGGTAAGAAAATCCTGTACTGCGTTTTGAAAAGAAGTTAAATAGTTATTGTCTTCTTCTTCAAAGGCCGTTATAGATAGCACTGCTACATCCTCGAACCCGATTCCACCCAGGAAAAAGCCCGCCATGGTGTTTTCTGGGGTTTGCATTATAAGAGTCGAATTGATAGGTGGTAGAGCACGTGGGCTCACACTGCGCTTGGATTTTGAGGAGGAAACCGTAGCTTGGTTCGCCGATCCAGAAGTTGGCTTTGGGGTGCAGAACCTATTATAGTAATTGTCCCCTGTAGTGATACCAGAGAAAACTACCCCTTGGTTGAGTATCGCTATCGTATCACCAGACTCGGACTTCCCATTTTCATAAGTAAGTGTTAGTCTAGGTCCCAAGTATATCTTATTTCTCCCCCAAGGATTCATTGCAGTTGGATTGGCATAATTTTGAAATTGGCTATTCCATTGTGCATCGCTATCTTGGAAACGCCCGAATTGCGAGCCTAAGTCCACCATAAAGCTTGTAGCATTTTGGCCATTGATCTGTGCAATTGGGACTGCTGAGCCCAGCTTCAGGGCAGCTAGATGATGCTACGAGGTAAGTAAAGATGTTATAAAACACGTCCAGAACTAATAGATTAGACTTACAAAACCGATATAGTTTTGGCAAGGAAACGCCGTCGATTGACACCGAGACAATATCTTGGGCGAGTCTGTTTTCAAACGTGAAGGCCTTAAAGACATCAGGCGTATAGAAGAAGTGACCATCGTGTGCTGCAGATATCGTTTGTGTAATTGCGACCTGAAAGTCATACTCACTTTCATAACGCCCTTGTTTAGCTGTCTCAAGTATCTTATCCAGACTTCCTTGTATATCGACTGCAGGAAATCCATAAGACTTTGGAGGGTTCTTCAGCCAAGCAAGCGTAGACTGCCATTCCACGAAGGCCTTGAGACTTTGAATGAGCTGCTGTGCTGGTTGAATCCGGTTTGGCACTGAGCGAAGACACTCATATGCAAAAGACGCTGGAAAGGTTGATGTTCCTAGATGAATGTTAACATACTATGAGCTACTCTGAAGTTAGAAATATACATACTTGAAGAAGATATACGTGCACATGCCTTGGGGTTCACCCTTGTCGCTGATGGTGCTGCTTGAGGGGATGCAAATGCTGATACTCCTACAACCGCAGTAAACAAAAGCAACTTGTGCATTTTGGCAAGGGACTAGATAGATCAACTACCCGAGAACCCTCTGAAATAGTATACCAGCTTGGTCTATTATTGAAGGAGAACCGAAAACACGAGCAACTACTATCACTGAATGCAACATGATCTAAATAAATTCTGGCCATTGTTATATACAATTTGAATTCGTAGGGCTACCTGTTTTCTGGGATATTCTCATAGTAAACATCTCTCCTAGTAAACATGATAAATTCATCGTGAAACACCTCGAACTTCAAACTAAAGCTGGGTGATTCAGCACATGCATCTTAACTTCATGACTTTGTGTCCAGATGCCATCGGAAGGATTTTCAGCCTCCTGTCCGCGCCACAGTCTGTAACAGTTGAGGACCCTGCATGTTTTGTGTTATTCGTAGAATATCACCGTAGTTATACAAGATTAGGTAAATTACTTTATCAACAGTATTGGTTGGTATGAAACTGTTCAAGGAATACTCCTTGCAGCCTTATATCTCCCCATAAGTCCCGACCATTAATTAAGCTTAAATGTAGTATTCGAAGACGGGACCGACCCAATAGGTGCATCCCGATAGGGCTGTTTCGAGTCCCTGTTCTTTCTTTCTTTCTTTTTTAAACAAAAATAGAAAGACTGATGTGATTAGTTTTCATAAAACTAATATTACTAAGGCTTTGGAAATAGGCTGAAAGTGATTAAAACCTGCCAAGGGGCATATATGATCTGATAAAGGGGAAACCTCAAGGTTTGGGTACCTAAACAACTCGTCTTCAATTTTCATGATTTTTGAGGAACTTTACTCGGCATAGTTCTTTTCTTTATATAACTAGGACACCCATAGAGTCGTTTATATATCCGCGTTAGGTATACTAGCGCTAGCGATGTATCTTGCATCATCATCATCATCGTTGGCCTGGACGGAGTTATAAGTTGGAGGGGGGGAATACTATGATGTTCCTTAGATTAGGTAGCTTTATCATCATGTCTTGTAGATTTCGACGATATTAAATAACATTTCCGATCCGACTCAGAAAGTAATACGCAAATTTAAATATTAACTTTTAAAAATCGAGGATGATTTTACTATTGGGCGTAAAATATCTATGCCTCGCTGTCGCCATCTTTAACTAGCCATGGGGCTGTGGAGATATCTACATGGTAGTGATGCACGAACGACTTGGCGGAAAATATCACAAATGCGGAATTCGTATTATTTCTGGGATGGGGAATAGGAAAACTGAGAGTTGGTAGTAGTCTAGGTGTATAGATTATAGACAGGTCCTCATGATTGGAGGGACTAGTCGCCAATGTAAAGGAATTACAGATACCAGGTAAGCAAGGACGACAAAGGTTGGCAGTCTTCGATAGCGACAAACTGTTCAAATCATATAAGCGTCACGAAGGCATCGAAATAGGGTCTGCTTTTACGTAGTTTTTATTGTTTACTACTGCTTAGCGAACGAGTTATCCATATACATGGCCCGTCTGGAGCGCTAGACGCTCGTGCGTTTGCACCTTAGTGAGGTTAAGTGCAACTTGTTATGGGTATACCCAATCCCACCATTTCGTAATTCATGTCCCAAGCCTATAATTTCAAGAAGCAAAACATCCATCCGATAACTATTTAGCGACGTGATTGCTCATCTTGTCCATCTTGTCGATGCCGTACTTGATCCGTCGGTCGACGTTCTTAGCTACCTTTTCTAGGGGTAGTCGGTTGTCGATCCTCTTCACGGTCCGTTCAACGCGGGGTTCTACACGCTGAGCGATTCTTTGGGCGGGAGAGGCGAAATATGAGACGTTACGTTCCCATCGGGGCGCCCATCGGGCAGTCTGTGATGCTAGGCGTTCTTCGGCACCGGGGAGCATGAAATAGAATGGGGCAAAACCTGCGACACCAGCTACACCGAACGTGGCGAGCTCAGTCGTGTTGGCTCTGGGAATACGGACGGGCATTTTGGATTGTTTTAGTGATGATTTTATGGTGATAGTTGAAATGTTTTTAAGTCTGAGTGACGTGGCTTAAGATAGTCGTGGAGAGTGATAGGATAGCGGTCTTTGTTTCAAGTTGAATATCCTAGGTAGGCCGTAGAAGTAGATAGTTGGGAGATATGTATGAAATTCTTGCGATACACTTAGATCGAAGCTGGTTCCTTGCTCAAAAGATGTAACCAAGAAAGAACTCTATGTAACTCCTCACATGTTCAAATTTCGAGGGAGTCGCTTTCTTTTAAAGGGGAGAGGAAGGGAAGGAGGGAGAATCGTAGGTAGGCTGATACTTGCCCCCCTCTAGATTGGCCCATTCTGGCCTGATGGTTGCTTTGTCTGGGGAAAGACGACAGTAAGGAAGAAGCGGGGTAAACCAATAATAACAGGTCATGATGTTTGCGTCAACCTTTTAAGGACCAATCATTTAAGGTATGCTCTAGGATTATACTCTGGGATTAAGTTTAGATAGTACATAACCGTACGGCAGCGTCGACATGCCATAGGTCAGACCCTTACAGAGTGACGCTGCCCTTTGATTGCTTACCACATCATTTATCCATGTAAAGTATCCATTACGTTCGTAGTTGTACGAGAGCTGAGATTAAATTGATACATGATTCGCGAACCGGGGAGGTATTAGGTGTGGGAGTTGGGGTATTATTCCCATTACCACGCCACACTTACACGGACAGGCAGCGCAGCAAGCATGTCGATCAGCTATCCGTTGATGTCACTCGACTATAATTATTTCTAATGTTTTATTCGCTACTATTTTACTTTTCAACATCATCTATTAGAGCCTCATCTTTTACGAATACTCGTTGGTTTTTTGTTTTTATTTAAATTATTGGACTAATACGATAATAATCATAGACATCTTCTCACGTGCGACGTCTAGAGCAAAGTGGACTCAGGGGCCCTTCCCCAGACGCTAAACGGCCGCTTGCCCCGCTTCCCCAGAGTGGATCTACCGCTACTGCCACGACTGCCTTTAATGCTAAACGCTGCTAAAAAGAGCTGGTGGACCATTATAAGACCCACACCGCTCTTACTAATATAGGTACCTAAGGTACATAGGTATATAGGCCAATGCTGTCTTTGCTCCTGTCCCAGAAGGGATCCAACGTAAACCGTGTTTCGGTTAACACTGTATTTTATATCCTAAGCCACCCACTTCTTGTCTGGCCTCCCTGCATACCTAACAAAAGATAAATAACATACCTAGCCTAGGAAACTATGCTTAGAGAATCATGCTCTAGTCAGACGATACTTTAAAGTTTCAAATCAAATTGGTGTCGAGTCATTTGAGACTCGCGCAGAGCATCGATTGTCGTCGTATGATTAATGAACAATTATCTTGCTACCACGTCCGACTTGTTTGACTATCCATGGCCAATCTAGGTTCGGTGCTCGATATCGGAAGCAAGGACATTTGGTCCGTCGACTAGGTACCTACATATGGTTCACTCCGCTCTCCAAGGCCATAAGTCCACTTCACAGGCAGCATGAAATTCATCCGCCGATATCTTTTCCCTTTTTACTCGGGGAATCGATTGCACAGTCCGATGCTCTATTGGCATAATCCAAAGCATAATTCGACCAAGCAGTGGGGAAAATAATTACGTTTTTATGCAAAGAGCCAACAAAACTAACTCTTTTGTCCGGGTGTCTCAATAGTCCTAGGATAGACCTTTCAAGAAGTAAACTTTAAAGCACGAGCATTACGAGAGTCGAGAGGGTACTTTAGCATGCGAAAGCGCCATGTCATATACAAACGAGCCGAGAAGATCTGCTACGAGTAATTGGAATAGGTAGGCGATTGTCCCAATCGACACGGTGGCATGGAATTTTACGTCACAGCATGCCTAGAATCCTACCTACTTTATTAGTAAGGCTTCCTATCACTACCTAAGTAAAGAGGAGTAATCTACCTACCTAGGCAGTCTGGGGTTGTATGGAATCGGATCTGAGACTATCCAAGTATAGTTTCGGTCTTATGTTTTTCTTCTCTTTACTTCTTTTAAATCTTTCTGCTGGGGCTTATTTCATTATCATGAACATACAAAAGTTAGCTACCTGAGAAGGTGTCTCTAATATGATGGTATTTGATCATCAAACCCAGTTAGGTATTCGACTTTTCTATACTACGCGCCACTCCAAGCTCTCCCTGCGAGGTATTCGCTCAACCTAAACGCGCCCTCCTCCTTAGTCTTATCTCGGATACTGTGGTAGACGCGAAACCATTCTAGCGCATAGTGGTTCTGCATTTGGACCGGAAAGTATTCGCTCAACAGCGGGCTACTATTTACATATTCCCACCACGACGGGTAGAAGCCTGCTAGCTCCCAGTCGACAAGCCCGGCGAAGTTGCCGTCATTAATCATGATATTTCCTTCGTGCACATCAGAATGACTAAAGGTAAATGGCAGACCAGAGGGCATTTTAGCCATGAATGCGTCGAGGTTTGGTTTATCAAGTCGATGTGCGATAGGGAGCGCCAAATTAGAGGCAAGCTCACTATCCGTTGTGCAGACCAAGTAGTCTCCAGAGGATGAATCAGGTAATGGCTTGAATAAACGCCAGTCATTAACCAATCGTCCGTCAAGCCTTGCTGTATGTGGCAAAGTGATAGTCTTGAGACCAAGAAGATACTGACCTACCTGTTGGCCGATGCGAGTGAGGTCTTCCTGTGTTAAGCTTGGTAAAGCATTATCAAGCGATTCGCCCTTGATACGACTCTCCATGGTGAAATATCTATCTCCATCCCTCCAATGTAGTTCCGTTTTAGGGATTGGTGGCATGCCTTGCCTTTCCCCGAGTCTCCTCCTAACGAGGTCAGCATTTTGAATCTCGATCTCACAACCTGGGGTGTACGGCCGGTGCTTTAAGATGTAGCTAGTCCCGAGCGCCCAGACACCGCGGTCACCTGGTTTCTGGACGAGGAGTTGGCAGCCGGGCTGTGAGTCGGACTGAGACTTGCTAGTCTCAGTTTTCAATAAAGGCGTGAATGGGAACCGGGCTGGCATTTTGACTACTAAAGAAATGGATGGGTCTCTAGGATGACAAATATATAACAAAGATCGGTATCGTAGAAACGTTTGTTTTCTCTTAGTTGAGTAGAATCATCGAGCAAGAATTGTTTCGATGCCTTGAATAATCTCTGCATGACAAGTGGGTTAACGTGTATATATAGGTACCTAAGGGAAAACAAAGTGCACATATTAGATATTTAGGCATGGTGGTTAGGTATGCAGACAAGATTATTGATGTAATATAGACAATACGTTAGTTAGAATATAATCAACAATCAACAATCAACAAGCTCTTCGTTCAGAATTCACACGTCTGTGGTTTAACAGAGCTAGAGAATAAATAGTCTAGGGCATAGGATGGTGTTATTATTGAAAAGCGACCGTTGACGTTTAACATATATTCAGCAGATAAGATAGAAATCTCATCATCAACATTAATAGCCATATTCGATTATTTTCTTACGTATGTATAAATTACTTATATAGAATCTACAGTTTGCTTGCTGTAGTCTCGATTGTTTACTACTTATCTATCTAGGGAGATGGAGAATCTGGGTTACCCCTGGACGATCTTGGCATATCACCTTCTATTCTCGGCTGATTTGCCGTGCAGCAAAGTCGTTATCAGCGCGCGTTCTTGCAAATTGGTTAGGTTACTACACTATTTCGGCATGCATATATCCAAGGCAAGGGTCGCATCGTAAGGAAAATGTCGTGCGAGAGAGGTCAATTCGATATTCTATTCCTTTTGGATTTGTATGACTTGCCCTCGTCTACATTCTGAACTGGGCAATTGACGAACCAATGTCGAGCATTTATGCCCTAGCTATGAAGTGGGCGCTGCTCATTTCCCTTCTTGTAGGGTTATCTTCAACGCACCCCGATGTGAAATATCCGCCGCGGAAGGTCGCCGGAAAGGCATTCAAAACGGCGCGCAGCCCTCTTGCTAGGTTTAATGATCTCATAATTGAAGAACCGAATGCGGTACCGTTGGCCGCAGCGAGCTCTCCCTTGGAATGCTTCCAGGTTGCCGAGCCGGTACTAACGCCTCAAGGGCCTACATTTCGTGATGGGGTTCATGTGCCGACGGCGGAGTCGGCTTCAATTAGCGAAGTAGCTGAACACACGGTAGTTTTATTTGAACACTCTTTCGCTAATAGTTATGGCGCTCCCTACGTTGGTAGGCTTATATACCTGTTTTGCAGTAAACTGTTCTATATTCTGACTTGGTTAAGGCAATTACACCCCTCCAGATTTCGAATTCGATCACGTAGTCATCAACTTTACCGTCTTGGTAAGGGGGCGGCAGTATGATCGAACTGGTGTCTTCTATCTTGGAGATACTGAGGTGTGGAGAACATCAACTGCGGAACCAACTTCGTATGGCATCCGCTGGGTCTGGCTCAAGGACTTAACTCCGTTTACGTCCCTCTGGAAAGAGCCGCAGACTGTGATCTTTGACCTGGAGAACATTGTGGACAACACCTACACGGGACTACTCAACACGACTCTCTCGGCTACATTCTTTAAGAGCCCCGTGGCTGCGCTTAGCAGCCGGGGGCCTGCTGATCTGATTATCCCCATCTCCGAACGAACGGGATCCGCCGGACAGCCGAGTCAATTCACCTACCCGCAGCAGAATGCAACTAATACAATTAGCTTTCCTCAGAACGCGAATCGTGCCGTATTCACGGTAGATGTCAAAGCCCAAGGCGACGAGGAGTTCTGGTGGAGTAACGTGCCACAGAGTGCTATTCATACATTCGACGCTGACTATGGCACGTACCCTGGTTACTCTCCTTGGAGGGAAGTCCAAGTCACAATCGATGGCCAGCTTGCTGGAGTTTCTTGGCCGTTCCCGGTGATTTATACGGGTGGCGTAGTTCCTCAGCTACACCGTCCAATCGTTGGAATAGAAGCATTCGACATCCGGGAACATGAAATCGATATCACCCCGTGGCTACCGCTACTATCGGATGGGAAAGACCACACCTTCTCGATACAGATTATCGGTCTGGTCGACGATGGAGTATCAAGCGCTTCCCTTACCCCAGTCACAGCCAGTGAATGGTATATTACTGGCAAGATCTTCGTCTGGCTTGATGACGAGGGCTCTGTCACAACCGGGGAATTGGGTTCTGCGTACACTAGCAACCCCAGTATCTCATTCTCTCAAAAAGTCACACAAAACTCGACGGGCTTTAATGAGACCCTCGATTATACTTTAGCGGTGACACGTACGTTATCTATCAGTTCCTACGTCAAGACGCAGAATGGCGAAGGGACCGTGACATGGACTCAATCCCTATCGTACTCGAATAATGGCGGTGTTTCCGCATACGGCAATGATGCGATCAATACGTTCGGAATCGCAGGTGCTGATGCCGCCACGGGCCTAGACCTGGATATCTCGTACTCTACTAGCTACAGTTATCCGCTGTACTGCGGCAGTACGACGACGTATCTACCAGAAGGTAACTTAACGCTTCGGGCAGATCTCAACCAGAGTTTAACGCACGAAGTCCGTGGCGACTCCGTCTTCCCTAACGGTCTTGAAGCATTCATAGCCGCCAATGCGACTGGTGCATCGCAGTTCCGGGGTTCAGTGCTGAGTACGTCGAAGAACGGGTCGGCGACGTACTACAGACCGGGAGATAATAGCTACAGCTCGGGGGTCGGCCAGTCTCACCAGATCTTTTCGTTTGAAGCTCTGAATGACGAGGGCGACGATGGTACGTCTGAGAGTACAGTGTTGTATTATCGTGACGTTAGTGCGTATAATGATACGGTCACTAATAACCACGTTGAGTTTCTGGGTAAGGCCGCAGGATAAGGTAAGATAATTCAGATATGAGGATAATGGGCTCTTGAACGCGCAATTAGGATATATTGTGTATAGGAGGTAATCTTGGGCATTGTACTTGATACTTTGTACACTTCGTACAGTCGTTTGCTGCGAATTTATCTACCCCGAAATTCGAATGGGGTATTTATTTATTGAGTAGATGTAAAAATGATATACAAATATTCATTTATCGGGATTAGTGTATACTATGATCAATCTGACTTTTCATTTGACACATCTGAGATATCCCCATTAAATATTTGACCAGCGCTTTACTCTATGACTCCGGATACCAGTGTGATTTATATGTTTACTTATTTACGTTTAACATAAATTCTATAATTTCTCAGACTCATATCTTCTAGTTGTGAAAGCATGGAGGAAGATCGGGCACAAGCCGATCTAGGTATTGCCGCAGATATCGAAGAGGCTCATGCGCCGCCACCATCATCTCCAGCTCGGAAACAGCCAAAGAAGCGATTCGTAGGACGAAGAGCTGCTGCAAGTAATACTAAAAATGGTGCTGGCGATCCATCAATCGAGGATAGCGGGGCTATTCAAGGTAAACCAATATTATTCTGGACGTTGAGGAGAAATCGCTGAATATAAGTCTTAGTATCGCAACCTAGAAGAGCACCAAGACTGCTTAATCAAGTGCCCCCGGAGATCTTGAATGACCCGGAACTCAAGGAGGCGATGGCATTATTGCCCGCCAACTACTCTTTTGAGATTCCCAAGACTATCCATCGCATCCGGTCTTCAGGCGCAACACGGGTTGCACTACAGATGCCCGAAGGGCTACTCATGTTCGCTACCACTATTTCGGATATCCTTACCCAGTTCTGTCCCGGGATAGAAACTCTAATTATGGGTGATGTAACATACGGCGCTTGCTGTATCGACGATTACACAGCGCGAGCTCTAGGCTGTGATCTCCTGGTTCATTATGCGCACAGCTGTCTAATTCCCGTAGACGTTACTAAGATCAAGGTGCTGTACGTCTTCGTCGATATCAGCATAGATACGTCGCATCTACTGGCTACCTTGGAGCGAAATTTCGCGCCACCGAAGACTATTGCGATAGTCGGGACTATTCAGTTCAATGCTACCATCCATGGCGTTCGATCGACGCTAGAAAAAGCTGGCTTCAAGGTCCTAATCCCTCAAATCGCGCCATTGTCCAAGGGCGAGATTTTAGGGTGCACCTCTCCGCGATTACCCGACTCTGAGAATGTTGACCTCATCCTCTATTTGGGAGACGGCCGCTTCCATCTTGAGAGTATCATGATCCACAATCCTGCGATTCCAGCATATCGTTATGACCCCTATTCGAGGAAGCTTACCCGTGAGACGTATGGCCACGAGGAAATGCAAAGTCTACGGAGGGACGCTATTACGACGGCAAAGGGGGCAAAGAAATGGGGCTTGATATTGGGCTCACTTGGCCGCCAGGGCAACCCGCACACGATGACCCTAATCGAGAAGAAGCTTAAGGAGATGGGAATCCCCTGGGTCAACCTACTCCTCAGTGAGATTTTTCCTGGAAAGCTCGCCATGATGAACGATGTGGAATGCTGGGTCCAAGTAGCTTGCCCTCGGTTGAGTATCGACTGGGGCTACGCATTCTTGCGGCCGCTGTTGACACCGTACGAGGCACTCGTTGCGCTCAACGAAAGGCAGGACTGGAGCCAGAGTGGTGTTTATCCTATGGATTATTATGCAAGAGAAGGGCTGGGAAGGACGAAACCCATTGAGGTGTTAAGCTAGTAGTAACTACTGAGGTACATAGGACATAGAGTTAATATGCTCAAGTTTAACAGTGGGCATGTGGGCATCTTTCCAAGTGATGGCAACTCAACACGATAGCTATAGGTAGGTATGTACCTAGGTAACTACCTGTTCACCGCAGCAACAAACAACCCCACGCATCATCCAGGCACCGAAGTAAGACATATATATCATAGCAACATGCTGTTCCTTCGGCCATTGGCCTCCGGCCGCTGGAGTCGCTAAAGCCCCTGGTTTAGTGGTAAAGGCGCCCGGAGTGCTGGTCAGTAAAATCTTAACAAGTGTTCGGGTTTTCGTAGGTCCAGGTTCGAGACTCCCTCGAGGGAGGTCAAACCTGGACTGAGCTTTTTGCATTTTTTTCTTCTTGACTTTTTCCATCTGCGTAAATTACCGAAACTAGAATTGTTTACCGCCGGCCTAGTTTATTAGCAACTACCAACCACACCCAGAAAGAAAAAAGGGGGTTGCACTGCTATAGTTTAACTTCTACGCATACAGTCGGGTTAAATAAGTCTAGAAACCCCTTCCCTTATTTTTAAAAGACTATCATATTTATTTTTATACTGTTGATAAGTAGGAACCACGAGCTCTGCTGTTGTGGTTTTAGAGCCTGTGCTCTACGAGCCTATTTACTGGGCTCGATCCCTTAAAGTAAGCCGAAAGAAAGATCAACCCTATTTAATGTCGTGCCTAATATGTATTTATTTAGTTTAGACCAACTGACCACTAGGGGGTGAGAAAATATCTCAATAGGTAGTCATCATAATAGCTTTCTCCCTTTCCCCTTTCCTATACGATGCTCCATCCCATTGGGTATACCTGGTGACTAACCAAAATACGCACCTAATAGATCTAGCCTCAGTAGAAATGTATACTACCTATGCTATATGTAAATAGGTATGTAGTTTACATGAGTTGTCTGTTAACAGCCTCCCTAGTCTTGGTAAGGGGAGGGGTGTTCTATTGATTAGTCAGTTATCCCCCTGTGTTAAATTCTACAATTTCTGAAATTACACTAGTCACAAGGAACCTATATAGAGTTGATCCTATCGTCATAAACATTGGCCAATTAAGTATATTATATAAGTAGATACGACGCCAACATCGGTAGTATCGACGCAGCGCTAAATAATGTAAATACCCAATAAGCATAACATCTATTTACCGCGCCACCCGAGGTGACCACTGAAGTCATAGCGTCGCAGCTACTTTTATTATTATCATTATTATGCTCGTCTTCTCTGTCATCTCCACAAGCGCCCGCCTAGGACGACGTGGTAGTGTTGACGCTGAAGACGTAGCTGGCCTGGAGGACGTAGGGGTCGCCTCCGGGGCCGAAGATCTGCTTGGACTCGCGCTGCCATTCGGGGTGGTTGATGGCGTCGATCCAGTCCTCGACCTCCATGACGAGGCAGCCGTATTGGGGGATTGTGCGGGGGAAGTCCTCGTTGTCGACGAGACCCTGCGACGTCTTGAGAGGCATCGTGCCGTTCTGGCCGTTGCACGAGTACATCTGGAATGCTTCTTGGTCTGTGTACACGTCGAGCTGGATGCCAGACCATTCCGACTGAAGACGGGCGACGAAACTGCCTTCGGCGCGCCAATCATAGGGGCCCTCTTGACTTCGGTTGATGATCCAGCAAGTATCTAATTATAACAGGTTAGCTTTTTTATCCATGGTTTCTATTTTGACGAGTTGAGAAAGACTTACCGTAACCGGTGCAGTTGAAACCGCAGTTACCCTCCGCTTCAGGCTTCTGAAGGTCGGTTCCGAGTTGCTTCGGTGCGCTCCAGAAGTCGTTCACAGATCCCTTCTTGTTGGCGATGATGTCACCTGTCGGGATTAAGATGTCGTCAACACCAACTCTCTGGCCGCTGTAGGGTAGGTAGAACGTGTGGTTCAAGGCGGTGTTAGTCTCGTTATTGGCAAAGCCGTCCAAGTTCCAGTACGTATGACTGCTGAGCATAATAGGCGTCTTCTTAGTAGTTGCGATAGCTACTAGCTTAAAATCCCAAGTGAAATTGTGGAGAGTATAGGTGACGTAGGAGATGACCTCTCCGGGAAACCCTTGGTCGCCGTCGGCATCGACAATGGAGAATGTTATACTGTCATTTGAATGAGAGACGACAGTGAAGTTGCGGAAATCCCAGCCATCGGGGCCGCCGTGCAGAGTATCAGCACCATCGGGGGCTTCCGGTGTAGGGTTCTCATTGGGCTCAATGTGAAATGTTTCGCCGTCAATCTCAAATGTGCTGTTCTTGATCCGGTTTGCGTATCGGCCCGGTACACTGCCGAGATGAGGATGAGCCTTGTCAAGCGTATAGGCTGTAGCGTTGTCGAAGCCGGCCACAACATCTCTCTCGATACCGTACTTGTCGTGGATCAAGAGCTTTGCGACGGAAGCGCCGTAAGGAATAAATGCGGCCGAGAGACCCTCACTGTAAATCCAATAAAAGCCGTTCTCATCGGGACCCAAACTGCTTGACACATTACTGCTCCCAGTACCGCCAGGCGATTGCGCCGAGGCCAATGGCAGTAAAAATGCTCCCAAAGAAGCAAGGCTAGTGTTCAGACGCATGTTGACTTGAGGTTGAGACAAGCTTTGTTAGTCAACATGCAATTTTGGTGCTGATGCTTTGTACTCGCCGCAATTGACGGTGAGAGAGGAAGGCAGGACGAAGCAAAGCAAAGCGACGGGAATCCTGGGGAAGGATTTGTGACTTATATAAATTCAGTCATCAAAGGATAAAACCCCCGTCTGGAGAAACTTGATTTGGTTGGACAATGGAGAATACACTTCATCACGTTGACTTATTACAGGGGGGAGTAGAGCTGGGGAATTTTTATTAATCTCACCTGCATCCGAACTCAGTAGCCCCCAGTAGCCCAGTAGCTCCAGCAGCCCCGGCGATCCCCAGCTATGACTTATGCTAGTCTGTCAAAAGCTACTCCGCTTTCTTGGAAAAGTTGGGGTAAACGACGTAACTTAACAAGGCAGTGTTACATTGGCCTCATCTAAATCATGTGGTAACACGGCACGAAATCAGTAAGTCGCTAATACGTTGGAATCCGAGTTGGATTCGTGATTCGGTCGTTTTCTTAGAATGTTTAGGGTCATTCGTACGTAGGGCCCCTTTGTTATTGCATGTTTGCGGGTCACAGTGCAGGTGAACCAGCATTACCCCATATCTCCGAGCCCAAGGTGTTGGATCGCTACAATAAAAGCTGAATAGTACCTAACCTAGGTAAATATTATAATAACTGTCCGTAAAGAAGCGGTATGAGTCAGGCGTATGTGTTACCTAGAGGCGTCAACTAGGCAAACTAGATTCTTATGAGAAGGATTTCTCTACCAACACATTACAGGGTTATCCGATATGTATCTCAGATAATTAGAAGTATTCTCATCTTCCCACTAATTCCGAAGCAGAGTTGGTGGCATATTCGGACTCTTTGTAACGAATCTCACAGAGTTGAGTTAACCATAGTCCCGTAGACTAAGAAAAGTTAAGTGTATTCGAAGTTGTGTTTGCTGAAGACTTGTTTAAATTGGCATTATGTTACCCCACTAGGGGAATTTTGGAGATGCTTTTCCTCAATGACGTTCAAAGCTACAATATTAAGCTTTGGAGGGATCTTCTGTGGAACTCCAGCCCTCCCTTCAAGCACCTCTTGTGCCTTGCATACATTCCTTTCACTAGCATTCATAGCTTAGCTCAAGGCACATGTAAGGTAATATACGATTCGTTAGTGTTTCCGGCAACATATAACAAATAAAGAAAAGAACGTTCGAGGCTTGCCCTCGTGATTCAAATAGGTCTTTGAAACAATATTCCCAATCTGTTCGTGGTAGCCGCTAACCTCTATATAGAAGACTTGTTGGTGTTGAAGCAAACATAAAAAATATGGAAAATGGCGGAAAGGATACGAAAGCTACTAATTGGTGCGAGAATTCGAGTAACACAAGCAATGGGGCACGTGAATGGTGGATTTTTGCAATTTTGGAGCTAAGAGGATTACATATGTATTTCGAGTCTTCCAACTTCCCCATATTCCTTTGTACCTCGTTAGGTACTTGAGCAATTATACTTATAGTGCGGGGTTCTCCTTTTGGAGGGGGTCAGCAAGCCTAAAGTGGTCAACTCGAGATATGTACCATAATCCTTTAGAGCTTCGGAGCTCTATGTTGACATGTTCCCCGCGTCCTACCGTCCCGCTCATCTCTTAAGCATTCACCTCGCTTAGCATGACGTCGACATGGCTCAGCCGTATATAACCCATCTTTACCTTAGGTACGGAATATACTCGAATAGGTACCTTCAGAGTTATATCCGTAAATCGGCCAGAAATATCACCAGCCTACTTTAGGATTACCAGGACTAGGTTAGTTATCTTGATATTATCATTTATATCAAATCTTAGTATGATGATATGTCGAGTGACCGATGTTCAAAAAGAAAAAACATGCTTTATGTTCCAAATTCTCAGTTATTAGGGTCATACGCTGAACAATATCTCATTATAAGACTTGACTCATATAAATATACTCTTCCATGATAATTCCAAACTCAATGGAACGACCATTGTATTGAATGCTGATCAGTAACCTGTACTCCGCCATATACGACTACCCTATACACATCTGTCGCGCTTACGCCCCCGACTGTTTGATTGATTATACGTCGACAAGGTTCTCCTCCTCTGGTGCATCTGTGTCCTTTACACCCTTATCATTTCTCTCCTTCCCTTTTCCCTTTCGATCCGTAGCCGAACGTTGATAATATTCGTTAATGATCTTGGCGGGGATACGGTTCAGGAGCTCCTTAGGGAAGATACGCAAGAGACTCCACGCGATATCTAGAGAGTCGTAAATACTCCGTTGTTCGTATGCGCCCTGTGCGACAAATTGCCGCTCAAATTTCTCGAGGAATTCTAGGGACAATTTGTCTTCGGCGGACAAGGCCTCCTCGCCGACGACAGCTTTCATAGCTGCAGCATCACGACCAATGGCATATTTCGCGTACAGTTGATTGGACACGTCACCGTGATCCTTTCGGGTCATTCCCTCACCAATAGCAGACTTCATGAGACGGGAGAGAGATGGTAGCACGTTGATGGGCGGGTAGATACCACGGTTGTCGAGCTGGCGGTCGACGAAAATCTGGCCTTCGGTGATATATCCCGTCAAATCGGGAATGGGATGCGTGATATCATCGTTAGGCATGGTCAAGATGGGGATTTGGGTGATGGAACCATTTCGGCCCTCGACACGACCGGCTCGTTCGTAGATCGTAGATAAATCAGTGTACATGTAACCGGGGAAACCACGTCGACCTGGCACTTCTTCTCGGGCGGCAGATACCTCACGAAGAGCATCACAGTAAGCCGAAAGATCTGTAAGAATGACCAGAACGTGCTTCTCAAGTTGGTAGGCGTAGTACTCGGCGGTAGTAAGTGCAAGACGAGGGGTGATGATACGCTCGATTCTGCTTGTTATTAGCCAAATATTCAACATAGTTAAAGAAGGAAAGGAATGCTATCATACGTAGGATCATTTGCAAGGTTGAGGAAGAGTGTAACACGCTCCAAGCTACCGTTCTGCTCGAAATCCTGGGTAAAGAATCGGGCAGTTTCTAAGTTGACACCCATGGCGGCGAATACAATGGAGAAGTTCTCCTCGTGGTCATCATGCACACCCTTATTCGTAGCCCCCTTTTGCTTGACCAAGCCAGCTTGTCGGCAAATCTGGGCGGCAATTTCGTTGTGAGGTAAACCGGCGGCGGAGAAAATAGGAATTTTCTGACCTCGGGCAATCGAGTTCATCGTGTCGATAGTCGAAATACCGGTCGATATCATTTCTTCGGGGTATACCTAGTAATATTGTAAGCGATGATTTTATTCACCTTGTAGTATAGAAATAGGTACTCTTGAGTAGGGATTGATAGGGCTGCCGTTGATGTCGAGGTAATCCTCAGCCAACACTTTAGGGCCCTTGTCGATAGCTCTGCCAGATCCATCGAAGATACGTCCCAGCATGTCTTCTGATACGCCCAGCTTTAAGCTCTCTCCCGTAAACTCGACTTTAGTCTTTTTGACATCAATGCCTGACGTGCCCTCGAAAACCTGCACAACGGCGCGGTTGCCTGCAATGTTGAGACATAGTTAGAAAATGGAAAGGGTTCGGTAAATAAGTATCCAATCGCTCACCTCGGGCTTCGAGGACTTGACCGGATCTCTCTGTTCCATCAGGGAGTGTTAGGGTAACGATTTCATTGTAGCGCGGGAATTTGACGTTATCCAATATGACCAAAGGTCCGTTGACACCGCTGACGGTGTTGTACCGAATCCTAGGTATGATGGAATACGAAGAAGATTCTCTAGGATCCATGATGTTTCAACTGCAGGTGTACTTGGTCCAAAGTTGTGGTGGAGGATAAAAGTATAGCTCTTCCAAATGAAGTAGCTTGGTTATGATTCGGCTATGAAGCAGTTGATGTCGAGCTCCAGCCACCGTTGACGTTAGATTACAACGTTAACCTGTTAGATTGTTAGATTGTTAGATTGCAGAAGCGGGAAGCTCTAAAACCAGACCCGTTACAAAAGCTCCCACTTAGCTGGCGCAGAGTGGGGAACAGCCACAGCAACTAAGGATCACATGATTGGATAGATAAATACGGTCTGTGCACTTAGTTGTGGAGCCATGCGATGCTGCATTTATGCATCTAAAATAGGGGAATAGGTTTCCCCCCCTATTTCACTATAGGGCTTATAATAGCACTACGCGCATGCCTCAACTCGTATCGACTACCTATCTTAAAATACTAGGTACCTAGATTTCAAGAAGTCGCATACGCATAAGGTTGCTTTATAGATATGATAGGTAGGAAGACATTGATATCAACACTGGCCTATCCTACTTGCCTTATGTCTTCTCTAGGCAGTGACGGGCGGTCTCACAACAATTATTTCAACGTTGGGTCCATTTATCCATGAGTACCTACCTACCTAATGTCCTTCATCATATAGATAATGTAATATCAAGATACTACATATCAGGTAACAACATTAATCTAAAGCAGAGATTACACGGAAGCTAAAGATTATCATAGATAGGTAGTCTTACTATACGATCATTAAACTATACAATACACCCGACGCGCACAAACTCAAGCCATACTTAGCGATCCGCAGAAACAGCACGACATGAAGGGACCAGAAATTGTTGCCCAGGGGCAGTGTTATTGTGCCATTTGTGGCGGTCCATTCGAACCCCCTTATTTTATGAATAGGAGATCCAATATAACTTTTGGCTATAATCCGAAAATAGTTAGCAAAAAGCAAAGTTCCTGGATCACGAAAGTCCGTGTTATACTAGAACGGACTCCCGGTCGGTAAGGTCTCCCCTTCTAGATCGATATTCGTGTAGCTAAGTCTTCTAGGGGATATATATCTGGAGTGGGAAAATTCAAAGATGGCTGTATTGAGCTTAGTCCCAAAGACAATGACAACCGTCTTATACCCAGTTCGAACAAGTACGTTTGCTATAAAACGGATATTACGGCGAGACCATTAGGTGCCATCCCCTTCCATTGGCCATGCTATGAAACATTGGCCCACGCCCTATATCCCGACGCGGACGATCCAATTCATCATGTGGACCTAGATCAGCTTTTGCTTACAATGTTTATGCTCACAGGGGATGGGGTTTCGCTAGCCATCGAGTCTGGTGCCGAGGAACGACAAAAAGAACATTGGGAATGCTGCATAGGCGAAGAGTATTTCATTGCGAACCCAGCTTCTTCGGCCGAATTGACATTTCGTGTCGGAAAGATCATGGCAGGTGTACGATTCCCTAAGTCACTTCCAGATTTTGATCTTGGAAATCGAGTAAAAAATGATCCGTTTAAAAAACTACCATCCGCTGTCATCTTCTTGGTCTGTCAGCAGCTGCCCGCCACAGATATTCCTTTACTTGCCCAGGCGTCTTAGTGGGTTAATGCTGCTCTTCGCAAAGGTAACTTCTGGAGGCATTTTATCAAATACGGCATGCCTTGGTTCACCGAAATAGAGGAACTTATTAAGCTAGGCACCTTGCGTCATCAGGGTATGTTCAGAGGAATCTTTTTCTGGGCGTTAGATGAAGTCCAATGCTACAGAGGGCTAAGAGGTCCTCTCATGCATGTCGCGAACCGGCGGCGAATATGGGAAGTCTGTGAGGACATAGCATTGACTTACTATAATGATGACGTCTAATACGCTGGAAGAGTAGTCTGAATGATGGAATAGAAGAGAATATCAGAACACCTCATTTTGCTCTGCTATTATAAAAAGGGAAGGGGTCCATTAAATAATGCAGAGATTCGTTAATAAATCAATTAATTATATTAGCACGTGATCTGAGAGAATGACTTCATAGGTTAGGTAACCCCGGCTTTTACATAATTGAAACTAGAGCCATTAGTAGCCGAGCTCTTACAACGTTCATCCGTTCTAAACCCGTCTAACTGTTACCCCATTTGTAGTTTTGAATATGTAACTTGGAGTTATCAACGTCGATAGAAGAAGACAACAACATTTCGGGGTGGCATAAGAAGGGGAGCTACGATTTAAATTATCGATATGAATAAAAGATGGCGTCACTGCGCCCAATAATCCAATTAGCTCGCTGGCGGGCACCAGCCTACGCTCCAGCAGCTCTACGACGATGCTTTGCGACAGCTTCTGACGTAAGAAATCCGGCCTCGGGAACCCAACAACAGCTGCATTCCGACAACCGAGTTAAGATAGTCGAAGTAGGCCCAAGGGATGGTCTACAAAATGAAAAGAAATCAATTCCTCTAACTACTAAGATCGAATTAATCGAGAAGCTAGCTAAAACTGGAGTGTCTGCCATAGAAGCCGGGTCTTTCGTCTCCCCGAAATGGGTACCGCAAGTTAGTGTCTCTCTGATTACGAACAGTATAGACAGAAACTGACTTAGAGAACTCCCCTAGATGGATAACTCTAGCGAAATCCTTGAGCATATCCTGACGAACAAGATCCCCTCACCAACTCCAATTACATATTCCTTCCTTGCCCCTAACGCAAAGGGTGTTGAAAATGCAATAGCCCTACTCCAAAAGCACCCGGGTACCTATCTGACGGAAGCCGAATCGTTCTCGGGCGTAGGCGGTAAGCCGGCAGTAGAACTTGCTGTTTTTGCTGCTGCAACTGAGAGTTTCTCAAAGAAGAATCTCAATTGTGACATCGCGACCTCTCTTGAGAAGTTCAGGGATGTCATACAAGGGGCGAAACAGCTCGGGATTCGAGCACGGGCTTATATCTCGGTGGTCTTGGGTTGCCCTTTCGAAGGATACGATGTTAATCCACATAAGGTGGCCGAAATTGCTACCTCGTTGCTAGAGATGGGGGCTGATGAGATTTCCCTTGGGGACACGACAGGGATGGGTACTGGGCCTCGCACACAGGAGCTCTTGAAGTGCATGACAGCTGCGGGAATACGGAACGAGGACATTGCCATGCATTTCCACGACACATACGGCCAAGCTCTTGTGAACACAGCCATTTCTCTAGAGCGCGGTATCAGAACGTTTGACAGCTCTGTTGGTGGTCTTGGCGGTTGCCCGTACAGCCCTGGGGCCACCGGAAACGTGGCAACAGAAAACGTAGTGTACTTCCTCGAGAGCTTGGGTATGGAAACGGGCATCGATCTCGACGCTATGGCGGACATCGGACAGTGGATCTCAGAAGAATTGGGTAGGCCAAATGACTCGGCTGTTGGCAAGGCCGTGCTTGGGGCTCGCAAGACTGGGTAGTATTTCTACATGTCTACACAATGATATGTTTTAATACAACCGGCAAATGTATATATTTGATTATACCTGTTGAAACGCATACTGAAAAGACTATTGTTGTGGTTTCTTTCACACTTACCATGCAAGACTCGTGAACTTGAGGATGGTCTGCATATGGCAAGTTACATAACCAACTTGACTATTGTATAAGCAAAGCAACGCAATCAACCATTCCGATTTGCCAGTTAGTAAAAACGGTTATGTCTCAAGCTCCTCAAGCTCCTCTAGCTCTGCTAGCTCTGCTAGCTCTGCTATCCACGCCTCAATTCTCGCTTTCTCAGCCAGGATGTCTGGATTTCCAGGTAAATAGAGCTCTGCAATCCTAATGTAGTCCCTGGCAATCACCGAATTACATTCTAGGATACGGTACGCCGTTGCGAGGCGGAAGAATCTCTCACTGCAGTGAACGGGTAGAGGTTCCCAATCTGTCCCTAGTTTTGCAACCGCAAAGAACGATCCGCTTAGTGCCTCAAGCAGAATTGGCCAACACTTCCGAGCTTGGTCCAATTTACCCTCGATTTTCAATATTTGCATGACGACTATGATGCCGGCTACTTGATTTAGATGCAAGTAGAATACTATGTCGGCGATATGATAAGGTATTCCATCACTAGGATCGCTCGCGGCTTTTGTTCGCTGCCATATAGGACTGCCAGCAAGACCGATCATCTGCATGGTGGACCGTTTCCAGGTCTTCAAAGCCATAATATAATCGCCGTCATCGTAGAATTCGTCTCCATAGGTTTTGACATTGTTGAGAGCCTCTAATAACGGCCGCGCTTCGAGGAGGGAATCTCGTTTGACACGTTCCGTGACATCCCTAGCTAATTTCTGGCATATATTGCCTTCAAGCTTAAATGATTCAATTCTGGTGAGGTAATCTCGGTAAGGTTGGACGAGGAGAGTCTATTTAGCAGTTAGAAATTAAAAATTACTTGTATTGTGTTATTATGTATTAAGACTCACTTGCTTTGCAATACCTAAGTAACCAGAGGACCTTGTGTTTTTGAACGGGTTGTAAAGAACAGCGCGATGATCAAAACTTTCGGGGGAAGGTTCGAGCCAGTTGAGCGCTTTGCAGAACAACGGGAAATCCTTCTGAAGAAGAATTAAGTGGTTCTTTGGAACTGGGCTAGCATCTCGGGTCTTGATAGAGTAGTTCATGACGAAGCCTTTGAAATTTCTGACACTTGCTTTGCCGATAGTTACGATAGGGATCTCCCAGACAGATAGGAGGTGGCATAAGTTAACGCCATAAGTGACCACGCGGATGAAGAGGTGGTACTTTAGCATGACATCAGTAGCCTCATGTGAGATTTGTCGGTTAACGAGGAGGAGTGCAGTGTCGAACTTGTAATGTCCTAAGAGTGGAACGAAAGGAGTATAGGACTCAAGGTCCTGATTCACTCTAGTCAATCTTGGCTCGGGAGGCGACAAAGTACAGAGAACGAGATCATAAATAGAAATTCTAAGTTCGGCAGGGAGATCTAAGAAACGGAAAGGGGTAGACGCCATATTTGCTATATGAAACTGTAAAGAATAATAAAGAATGCAAAGAACGCACGGAGAGGATGGTTTCACTTCACGAAAAGATGATGTAGACACGAAAGAATAAAAGTGAAGGGACTGTAGGGAAAATAGAGAATGTTGTATGGGTGTGGGGCTGCATATCGAAGATAAGAAGTCGCGACTGCTGTTAGTTGTAAGTTGTTGACAAAATTAGAAGTCGTGAACACCTTAAGAAGGAAGCGGCGACGTATATGGGGCCGGTGTATTTCATAGGCAGTACCTCTTGCAGAAGTCGCGTTGCTTGGTAACGCTGTGCATGATATTCACTGATAACCACCTGTTTGCCACTAATCGCTACTTAAATATCTAATTAACTTACAAAAGAATATATACTGAAGTTCATGCACACTCCACTACTTATTGGTTTCTATTTACTCCTATCCCCCCTTTTCTTCCCTTTGATACACCGGTTTACTTTCTCGTCCCAAGACTAAGACCTATAGTCCAATCACAGACGTAGTTGTGTAACTATTCAGCAAATAGATTTTCACCCTTATGTTATCGGTATCTAGATAGACTCATCTTTCTTAATTAAGCAAATAGCACAACCCACATTTCACTTCAGAATATGACTTAGATAAGACCTTGTTGATACATAGGTATGCACTGAGCTTATCGTAAGAAATAAATCACTTCAATATTCTTATATATATTAACTAACTAGTTACCGAGGTAGATAGTCTAGTGAAAGAGAATTGAGCTGCAGTCCAGTTTCTGTAAAGGTTGACAAGAGAGGTTGTTATAGACTTGATAGATATATACATATACCCGTTAAAGGAAGCTATAACGACTACCTACATACTTACCTTAATACCTAATCTAATTCAAATTAACTAGGTTATATCGTAGTTTCCTCAATTCCAAGTAGACACCCCCTATTCAATTACAACCCCTATTCTTAGATATCTTATGTAATCCAGCATAATCTGATCTCTGGGGCTCTGCTGGGCTTGCTTCCCCACGTGGCTTTGGTCCCACAGTGGGGTTACACTCCAAATCTGCAAACCAGGGTCAATCAACTTTAACCTCCAAATTTGATATAAAAAAAGTTTATTCGTGAGATCAACGCTACATTAAAATCTTTCGAGTCTCTCGCAGCCAAGACCAAATTCGAGATGCACTCATTGGTCCAACCCCATGCGTGGGTTGCTCTCAAGCTTCCATCTGGGAACCTTCGAGTGCTTGAAGTCACACCTAATACGTATGTTATCTATATCATCATCGTGTATTATCTCAAGTAACCGCATTGATTAACATGTGTTCGTCCTATAGGACCATCTCCTTAGGGAAGTATGGGTCATTCCCAAGCAATCTCATAATTCATCGGCCCTATCACCTGACCTATGAATTGCAAGATAAGCAGTCAGGGGAAAGTTTTAATCGCTTGCGCATCGTGCCGGCTTCTGAGCTGTATAGCGATATACTATCTTCCGATGCATCAGCTAGTTCCTTAGAGGGAGAAACTCCCATAACAAATGAAGGTGACGATGCCGAGAACGCCATACCGACAGGAATCGAGTACTCACTCGTCGATCCCGAATCTGGTGCTGTCGTTGCTCGAACCGATCGTGTAGAAATCGATGACTCAGCTCGTCAGACCCTGACGGCAGAGGAGATAGAAGCCTTGAAGAAAGATGGCACAGATGCAGGAAGAGATATAATAGCCAAGTTGTTACTATCACATACGGCAATCGACCAGAAGACGGAATATTCTTTGGCCAAATACAAATTACTCAAGACGAAAAAGTATATTCGAAGATTCTCCGTTCTCCCTATGGATGTGCCAATGCTCGCCCACTGGCAATTGGAAGTAAAGGACCCGAGTAAGATACTAGATATGAGAGATGAGATGATAGCACTGTTAGGATGTTGGGCCAATGTGCATTTTGGTGGGGAGGATCAATGCGAGAATAGCTGTACCGAAGAAGTTGGTGATCACGAGAAAAAGAGTTTCGAGTCTACACCCGGTCGGTGGCTTGTTGTGGATGACACCGGTGGTCTTCTAGTAGCGGCTATGGCAGAGAGAATGGGTATTCTCTACTTGCCTGAAAATGGGGCTTCGGAAAACCAAAAGGAGCCAACATCACCAAGCGCATATCAAAAGGAGTATTCGCATAACCAAAAAGTTACGACAGATACAGGAGATCCTCTCGCTAAAACAAGCACTGAACATGGCAACTCAACTATGGAGACAGTACCGCAAGGTCGCGATTCTGCAGAGCCAAAATCCCCTGAGAGTACAAGAATTTCGCATAGAGACGGAAAATCGCGATGTAACGATATAAAGGTACCATATGCGAGTTCTAATACCCTCACCGTCATTCATGCCAACCAACAACCAAACCTGACCTTCCTACGGGATTATGGCTTTGACGTTACAAATCCTGCTCAACCGGCAGACCACCCCTTAGCCTCTCACTTAATGACCATATCATGGCTACAACTCGTCAAGCCGGATTTGGACTTTACTTACGCTTCGGAAATGCCTAATGTTTCGTCTGAGGTGCTCCGTTCGTGGAAAGCTAATCGTCGGGGCACATACCATCGCAAGCGCCGTCGTTGGGCTAAGGTTCGTCATGTTGTCGACACCACGCGGAAAGGCGAATTCTCTGGGTTGGTAATTGCTAGCACGATGGACCCTATCTCTATCATGCGTTATGCAGTACCGCTCCTTGCCGGTGGTGCGCCCATTGCTATCTACTCGCAGTCTATCGAACCTCTGACAGCGCTGGCAGATTGTTATAGCATAGCACGCCGCGCAGCCTGGGCATCAAATCCGCCAGAAGAGGCGGTGGGCAAAACTCCTCTGGAATTGGAGCAGTGGCCCGGTAACGAGGAGTTCCCGTTAAATCCGGCCCTCGTATTAGGAGCTGCTCTACAGACAAGCCGTGTCAGGAAATGGCAGGTCCTTCCTGGACGGACACATCCTCTAATGACAAGTAAGGGCGGGGCGGAAGGGTATATATTCACGGCTTGGAGAGTTAGGCCTGCAGAAGGCAAGATAGCAGCTAGAGGGAAAGCCCGTACTAAGAAAAGGAAGCTCGAAGGGTCGACACAACAATAGGTTCACGAGCAGGCTGAATAGAAACATGGCTGCATTTATCGGCGTTACGAAACTTGGTATCATAGGACATAAGGTATAGCACTCTAGCATTGGCTAGTTTCAGTCTAGTTTTCAGGTCGCATAGATTTGCGATTGATACCCATAACAATAATTCCCCTTACTTGACGACTTGACAGGCTTCTTTTATATTCGATACTTGCTCGGTTCGCTCGTTTCTGTATAATGTAGACTCACTACCCCCCTTACAATGACTTGCCCATAAACTTCCTCTTTGTGAAACTTAACCACCACTTGCTCGGCTTGCCATCATTATCTTCTTCGTAGACTCGTGCTAATAATCGCGAAGCCAGCTCTTGTCGTACCTGGGAGAGATACTGTCGTAGTTGCTCGGCGTCCTGCCTGTCTCGTGGTGGTTCATAGATCTGCGTGTCAAGTTAGATTCACACTATAAAACCTATTGTTCCTTTATTTAAAAGGAATTATGCTGCAACGTACTTGGTTCAAGGGGAATGCAGGGTCACCCGGAATGGCGAAGTTGAGGTCCAGAGCAGTGTTGAGGACCTCCTTCGTGGCGTCCCTCAGGGAATGCTGAGGGCGGATCTTGCCGAGACATTCGCTTACGAATAGGATGCCATAGATTAATAGCCTGTCTGCTGGGCCTTGGATCTCGAAGTTACGGAAGAATGTGTTGGCACGGAAGAGCGAGATCACTTCGTCTAGGATATCGTAAGACTCGGCATCTGGGTCGGGGCTTTCGTTGGCAGGAAGCGGTGGGTTGGGCTGCGGTAGCACGTATGCAGGACCACGGGTCTTGGTACGGAGAGGGAGTAGAGGGAAGTTCCCAACTAAACGTGGAATATTGGGATCATTGTTAAACATAGAGTTGTAGGCCTAAGTTGACAATGGGTCTTGTTAGCTAAGATAAAGGTGACTCGTGGTATTAGGCTTTAGGAGGCCTTAAGATAATTAGGGGGTTATCAAGGCGGTAATAAGAAAGCACATACCGGCATCTTGTCAAGAATTCACCGAGACAATAATCGGTGGTAGCTTGATAGGCCTGCAATTCTAGATATTTTGATATTACGGAAGGGGGCTCCTATTTCTCTATGTTGACGCCTAGACTCGCAGGGCTTGGTGCAGCTGAGGCTGAGGTCCCCGTGTAAATTGTTAGTGAGAAACGTCACTACCTCAATCGGATAAATCCCGGTACATAATATGAAGAGTTGAGTAAGAGCTTGCATAACGTTATGGAAGTACCCCGCACTGTATAAGCATGTACCTACCCGCCAGTCCGCCAGGTTGTACAAACTAAGTACACTAAAGATAGATGACATGTCACTAACCTTAATTAGGCTAATAAAATGACTTGCATCCACAATCCATGGAGCATCTGACGCCAATCTTGGCAGTTAGCTCTTAACGGGATCGGGATATGCGAGCTATTATTGGTTCATTTTAGGTGTGGCGCTGATTGATCTAAGGCTGGAGCCTAGGCTTAACTTTATTTGGGGGCAATAGAAGATCAGGTGAATTCGCGCAAAGGTGGTGACTACAACTACTTGGCCGCATTCAAATTGCCAGCGCAATCCACGTTTGTTTGCAGGTGGAATGCCCCTCTAGGTCGCGTCTTTCTCTCATCCACTCCCATCGTTCATATTACCGCCCGGTATCAGAACTGTTGCATATTTTTATATTCACCCCTTACTTTGCAAAGTTCCAAGTTACACAATCAATTAAAGTTTTCTTCTTTTCTTTTATTTAGTTATTTAGTTTGTTAAAGGTATTCGCTACCTTTAAAAAACTTCATTGCGATAACGAAAACGAATACCTAGGCGCATATCATATCGCATTATACACTCCTATTTAGGTATCCAAGATATAAATCCGGTCGTACCCTCTTAAATCTTGCCTTACTTTAAAATTCGGTTTACTTTTCAGGGAGTTTCTTCCAAATAACAGGTAAGTATTTTGTTTTCTTATACTCTTACCTTATAGGTACTAACATATTTTTCTAGGGGATTGACATTCCGGCATCCCTATTACTATGTTATCTAAAGGATCCCATGTGACGACTTCAACGAAGGTAAAGACTAAGCGCAAGCGACTCTATCGCAGAACCAAGTGTTGCAAAGTCTTATCTCCAGGAATTGGATCACTTTACGATATTCTCCACGACCATGCTTCCACCGCACTTTATGTCCCGCCGCTGTGTTGGACTGAATTCCACACACAGGTGTTAGGTTGTCAATTTGTGCAACAACCTCCCCAGACTACACCAGTACCTTCATCTCCATCATCTCCATCGCGAATATCACAACATCCTAAGGTACCACAAACCGTGGTGCATATCAGCCGTGCCCTCGACATCATAATGAAGAATAATGTTTCTACCTACGAGCAGAACGAAGCAATAAAGAGCGTCTTAAATGATCTATTCCCTAGCCAATTATCTCCAACGGACCTCTCAAGTCTTACTCTTCGATGCGGGAAAGACCGATATATGAGCGGAGTTCGGTGCCAGGCCCTGTACAAAGACCGAATTTGCTCAAGCTCATTTGAGTCAACTACTACCTGCTCATCTGATATTTCGATGACAAACAAAGGGAGAGATACCAGTGTCCCCTATAACGCACCGATACTGGCCTACCTGGATCGTGACTATCTGAACCATATTAGGAGAAACTGTTTCCGGGTATCTTCCGGCCCTAATGGAGCATTCAACGGTCCTATACACCGTTTACAAAAGATCCGATCGGATAAATTAATCCCGAAGAATCTAGACGAGGATCAATACATTCTCGCCACTATGCTGGCAATGGCTCAACAGCATGTATATGGAAATATGTTCACAGGAGAGGGGTTTTCGCCGAAAGATGTCGATGTTCGCGTCTTGACAGTTTCGAAAGATGACAATTCGTTCGTCGTCTACTCAAGTGTGGTACCCACAGCATTTCTAACCATGTTCCACGAGCCCGGAAAATCGCCACGAGGAAATGCAAAAGTTACAATTAACTATCAACATGTCCCAATATGGCCTGTTTTAGGTCTCAAAGAACGTCTAGGACAGGCTCTTGGCAGAGATCTCATTGGCGAATTCGATGTAGATCGAATAGAAACCTTTGAGGATGAGCTGGCATCCAATTTAGAAGGAGGTAAAAGTGACAGCTTTGATGAAAAGTTACAAGCTGTGCTTCGGAAATTCAACAAGGAAGACGAGTCGACGTCCAATACAGCCCAGATAACACCCTCGCCTAAGCGCAAAAGAAAAATCTTCTCGGAAGTCTTTAACGGAAGCTTCTCTGAGGATTACGAATCCTCCAGCTATCCAAGTGAGTTACTGGCGAAGCGCAGGCGTTTAGAAGGTAGGGTTGGCGTCGTCCAATAACGCAATACCGCCCCAGGTTTTTAATGAAATCATGGGATATATGAATGGGTTACTAAGATATGGATAGTGATAAACAATGGGCTGGCTGTGGTACCATCGCCGGCCATATCATGGCTTTTAGAAGGTTCCCCGATGTCCAATGATCAAACGCCAGAGCAGTAGGAACCTTGGAGTATTTCGGGGTGTTTCGTGGTTTAGGGGGTAGAACAGAAGGATATATCCAACAGTTCCCTAAAGTGGGCAGACCAGCTGCCAGGGTTTTATTAGCCACAGCTAGCCTCGTGGCTTGTACTAGACGGTTGTTATTATGCGATGATGATTACGACGATACGAGACACTCAGACGTACCGGCTTTGCACCCAATCTAAAAGGGATGATACGCAATATTTGCGTAGCATATTAGCGCGCTGCATTTTGTAGAAGCATACAAATTATATATGCATATTGTGTTATTAGGGTTGCCTAACTACATAGAATCATAGCTTCGAAGAAATCTTACGATTTTACCAGCCTCGCGGTTGGGACCTCCACAAACCTATAATTTGACAACCGGTGATTTATTACTCACAATATGATGGAAACCTCATGGGCTTATCATGAATGTAGTGTGATGTACTACTCTATTCCTTCTGACTTCACTATTTAGAGAATTGTCTGATATTATTACCCAGAAATCTCAAACATACAGCCCATAGTCACTAAATCTGTACTACAACTATCTAGTCAGGCCCTATATGTCCAGGTACAATAGCGATTCTTGGCTCAATTCACTCGTTGAACTGACTTTGAAGGCCAGTGACTTGCGTAGGGGATGTATCATAGTCTACTGTCATAATGATTCAAATCACGATTTGTATGTCTTGTAGGTAACCTAGATGATAGCAGCAGTCCGCTAGGTACCTAATTTAATCCACCGGGCATTCTTTGCCTATCCTCTCTTTCTTTAAAATGCAACATCAATCCTCCATTAATAGGAACCCAACCAAATATTCAACTGCACCTTCTCGCGTATCTTATTGGTACGGCAACAAATTTTATCAGACTCCAGCATCATCTTAATTATAACCGATTATCAGCCACTTAATATTACGCCATCAACATGAGAGATTGCCCAAAACCTATCCCCCTTCGGTTGTACTCGGCCGAAGAGGTCCGCTCTCATCATGGAGATCCGGAGCCAAAAGCTCCTACAGATTCTCATATACTTAGAGGTGTTGCCGCCATTTTAGGGGGCATCACCGGGCAAGGGAAGCAAGCTGCACAATCATCCGCTGGAGCCGAATGCAAACCTCAAGGCTTAGTATCCGACTGCAAACACCAAGGCTTAACATTCGACAGCCTACCATTCGATATGAAAGTTTCTATCTTCGAAATGGCCGGCTCGTTGCCAAGTTGGGTCTACTTCAGATACAAAAAGGGGAAACTTGTTGAGCTTTGGGGTGGTAATCAGGAAGTCTATGTCAACGAAGAGTGGCACGAATCTCGCCAGCTACAAAGGGGACTAAGCACCCTCAACTTCTTGATTGACAAACCAGTTAGTGTAGAGACACTCGCCGAAGGTGTTCTCCGCCTTTTTTCAAAGGATGAGCCCAGTGTTAGAAATCCACAAGAACGACATAGGGGCGGCTCACGCTTTTCTGCTGGAAACAACGACCAAGTCAACCCTATACCTACGAGAAGAGAGATAGACTGGTTCTTCTTCGACAACTGTGTGAATATGGCGCCCCATGGTAGAAATTGGTCTATGCCTCATTATATCCACGGTATCCGAGTCTGTGTCTTTGGGCTCGACAATATTTTCGATGGCACAATTCATCATGAATCCCGAAATCCACCACCTGATTTTATATGGCCCCAATGTTCACACATCGAGGAACTTATAATCCTAGTCGGTAGATTTCGGAAAGAGGTTCTACCGTCGAAAATGAAGGTAATTAAAGCTGTCCAAGCTAACCTAGTGACCTTTAAGGATGTGCAATACGTATATAAAGATGAGGTGTCCGAGCATGAAGATACACGACCCGAAAAATACCTTCTCAAATCTGAGAAGCACATGATTGCAAATATTAACCGTCGTTGGTCATTAGCCTTCCACGATAAGCATCAAAATAGGCAGAAGTGGTTGGACGATAAAGATGGCTTGCAATGGCTTGCCTACCCAGTACACGACGACAAGAATGAAATTTCTATTTGGTTGACAACCCCTAAAGGACAAGACTGGCTTGGACATAATTGGCATGACACTTATCATTCAGGATTCCGGTTCCTCGCATCGCAATCCGGTTGGTGGTGGTTGGCGTCTAAGTTTGGCTTCCCATGGCTAGAAACTAGACAAGGACTAGGCTGGCTTGATACTAAGATAGGCCGGGAATTTCTTAAAAGTCGACAAGCCCTACTTTGGGTAAACACTGGTACCTACAACCCGTCGAGCCTTACACCTCTTGGAACACAAGTCCGGAAAGCCTGGTTCAATACGGCTGCGGGAACGAAATGGAAATTCTATAATTGCCCTAACGGAAACCCGCCAGCGCCCCCACAGCCACCTCAAAGGGACGCAAACCCACCTCCGGATGTGAAATTTCCCACTTACTTCAAAAATCCACACTTTGAAGGATGGCGTTTTGTTATCTGTGCGGAGGAAATTGCTGAGAGGAACGCAGCCATCAAAAATAAAGCCAGGAAATAAGATTAGTTGAAGGCCACAATACTTAGGGTACCTTAGGCACCTAAGCTTAACTAAATGAAGTATTGAGAAAGGAGAGAGGGGTGGTCAAACTTCCATAAGGAATACAGGCATAACTTTGTTACACATTTCGGATAGGGGGGTTGGCTTTTTACGAGACATGATCTTAGTATTGAACGAGACTCACAAGAGAAATATTTTAACTAATTCTCTAAGAAATAATACGTATATTCTTAAGAGCACGTGGTTAAAATAAAATACGTATCAGTTTATCTTGCCCAGTAGACCTCAATGTGATATCCTCGTATACAGCATCAGCCATCAAAATAAAGACGCACTTGACTGGTAAGAAACTGACAGTACAGTGATATGTGGCGATATATCTCGTATAAGATACAAGAAGCCTTCCCATAAAGCATATAAGGACATAAGGTTATTCACACCCCAATATATGGCGGGTTGTATGCAGCTAAAAGCGCAACATGAAGCCCAAAAGAGGAATATCGAAGGCTCCGTGTGACCAATCAGGCTGACGCCCGCACTGTCGCTTAACGTAGTATGACGCCTCAGGACCTCGTATTCCATTAACTCCATTAGAAGCGAAGACGGTGAAAGCTGCACTGGTGATAGGAAACGTGGTGGCTATATTGAGCCGAAAAGGAGAGGCTTTAGTACAAAAGCTAGGTTATCTACCACCATGTCTCCCACCTTTGGAATAATATCTTTAAGACAGAAAAATATCATAGGCAACGCTTAATACGCTGATAAAAATGTCTCTCTCGCTTATTCTCTTTGCATCGGCGTTTGGCTTAGCCTTGGCGCAAAACAACTATCCAAACCAATCTGCACCTTTCAACCTCGTCCTGTCAAGCGATAACAGCACCCTGAATGGCCTTAAGCTCACCGCTTGTCACTCTGGAGCTGCCGTCGAGTCATTCTGTCTCGACGTTACCGTTGCAGAACCCCAGTTCCAGACGTTCTTCTTCAATGGCTCAGCTGAAGCGCCTCAGGACCCTAACTACCTGCCTTCCGGCCTGATAACATGGACTTTCACCGGTGGTCAGCCGACTTTTACTGAGAGCACGGCAATGACACTCATGTATAACCCTGCTTCCAACCTCGCATTTCCGCTCATCTGGCCCAGCAGTGACACTGCTCAGCCTGTTTCGTTCACCGAAGATGAGCTTCTGGCCGTGGCGGCCAACATCGATGATGCGATCTCGCCGCCCCAACCGTTTGAGAACTATATCACCTATTTGACCGATCGCTGGGCTGTGTGCACGACGTATTGGCAGGGGTACGGATATGTTGCACTTCAGTATATACTGGGGAAGGAAGAGCCGCAGAATCCCAGCTGTCAACGGGTGACGGTGAAGAGAGTCTTTTTGGAGTCGTGAGAGACATAAGGATGCTGGCGAGTTGAATCATACCTGCAATGGGCTCTATAATACACAAATCATATTGTCCCCATGTACCCTTTTTAAACACATAATTTTATCATTTAATTATTATTTTACCATGTCAATGGACTATCGTAAGTCGTGAGTTATGAATGACCTTTGAATTATCACATGAATATCGAAATAGAGGATAAACTATGGAATTTTGATATATCCATAGGGCGTGTCCTTTAAATGATAGGAACATTAGAATAAACTCTAATTAAATACCATGCCATACGCCTAACCCCTATCCATCGCGCCATTGAAATTGTGTATCAAATCAATTTCCTAACCGAGCCCCCGTAGCAATACCAATGCCATCCTAACCCTTACCGCCCAATGTTTCGACATGAAGATTCATTCAGTGTTTCAAGGTTTCTGGCAACTCTTGTTCTGTCTAAAGCAGCCCTTGCTCATGCCTAGAGAGTCCGGAGCATCACTCAAGCCCTGGAATACATCGTCCAAGTTGAAGCTGAAGTCAGAAACACCGCACGCCTCTCCAATATAATCACTGAAGAATGAGATAGCATCAAGTCCATTCTCCACGAATGTCTTAGCACCTTCGACGGCTTTCTGGACCGCGGTCACAGATGCGCCTCCAGGTACCGCGTCGAGGCCTTCCTCGACGAGGGTCGTCACGGCCGATAGCACTACGGCGCATATCACGTTGTCCAGCTTCGAAAGTCCCTGAATAACCACATCCAGGAATGCAACGGCTCCTGAGAGGTCGCAAATACACTCGCCCGGCGTAAATTCGTTCCCGTCGTCGTCCTTGTCTATCGTGCTGGGATCTAACTTGTCTGTAGGTACATCTGGACCTTTGCACTGCAGTTAAACCCTATATGTTAGTCTCATTTTGATATTGCTATGATTAGAGCAAGGGAGATCACATACACCAACGGCGTTTGGGTCTGATCCCGGATTTTGCGCGGGACAAAAGATTTTACACGGGGCAAGCTCTTTCTCTGTGTTTCCAGCTCCGAGGTATGAGAGACAGATGCCTATCCTCCCAAAGTTGGCAATGGTGTCGGCATCTGAGCGAGGAAGAACCGCAGCAGAAGTTAAGCCTAACAGCCTAACCAAAGTTGTGGTATATAGGCACGCAGATAGTAAAGTAATCTTCATCGTGAGGAAATATTAAACGTTAAGAACTAGAAAGATAATATAAGAAATAACTATTCAAGGTTGATGAAGGTTGAAGTATATCTTTTCTTTCTGAGATGGATATGTCTTCGGTTTGTAGTTCTGCTTTTCTTGACAGTGGTTTCGAGTTCGTGGGTATGATGGCTTTAATAGACTACACAGTCAGTCGAAGGTAACTGCTTGACAGGCTCCCTTATTTTAGCAAAAGAGAAATATTAAATATATACCTTACTTATATGATGGTCATTAAAATAATCTAAAAACAAATCAGTTATACGTCAACGCCTCCTAAGTCGAGGACTTAACCATAGCTCGTGTGAATAACTAGCACGCATGCACTCATCTATTTTCAATCATTACACCACGTGCCTGCGCCTCACCAGCTGGGCCATCTGGTTATGGCCAACAGCAAAAGGGTGCATCGGAGAGGTGTGTACCCAAGGGGAGTTCTACCGGATGGATTCTATCCGTACCTGTTATCTAATATAAAAACTGGAAGACGACTCTTAATAAGAACGCCAAGAACCACCTACAGACACGAGGATTGGCGGTCATACATGATAAGGCTCTTCCTGCCCTATGGGTTGGGTATGTTAATGAGATATGGACCAGCAGCGATAGAACTAACACGTCGGCCGTTGTTTCGAAACAAACCCAGCTGATAGCCGTTAAGCCTTACTTGATGTCGGGCGCTTATAGATCGGATGTCGCATCTCCCGCGAACGGGATATCCTGAAATAGAAACTGGGGGAATACCGCACCGCCTGATTCGCCAGTCAGCCGCATAGCCCCCGAAAACGGTAACCCATATATTTGTCCCTCACTGTAGCTCTTTATTTATATTCACTGCCCTCCGGAATTTGACCATTCCGTCCCGTAAAACTATCAGACAAACATTCATCTATTCTTTTATATCCAAGGCGAGCCACGCATGCTTTGCATGTGACAAATCACATATGTTCGTACCAGTGCGGCCTCCAATCGTTATTGAATAAGAAGGTTTGTAGTGTTTGATTAGTGGAACACGGTATAGGAGTGGATATTTCCCACAAGACGAAGGAGAATAGTTATGGTATATCTTGGCGGAACGCTATTTGCTGGAGATCTCATCTGCTTCTATGATTGCAGTGTTTAGACGGTAATGGAGCTTGCCTATTTGATATCACCATGCATCATAGACTTAATATTCTTTTCGCATACAGATTGTGGTAACTAGACGACTAGGGTTGAACAAGGGAAAGGGGGTTCAGTGGGACTATTATCATAAACCTCGACTCTTACCCCTTATTGCCTGCTTCGCAGTGAATGGTTATATTTCATAGAACTTCTATAAGTTCTCAGGCCCCATTCGCGAAACTTGCGCCTCCAACCTCCTTATCAAACTCAACGCAAGCTGACAGTCCGCACAGCTCGAACACATCCCTCACACCTCCATCGATCTTCCCATCTTCCTTATACCTATTCTTTATCTCACCCGTGCTCTTCAGTTCCTGGCAGAACTCGCGCATGGCGATGTACACACTTGTCATACCGGCTATAGGCCAAAGGACAATCTTGTATCCCAACTCCTTCGCCTCCTGCGCGTTAACCAAAGGTGTGACGCCACCGCTGACCATGTTTAGAAGACACGGAGTAGGCGCCATATCCTTAACTACTTGTGCCATTTGCTCTTTCGTCTGCATCCCCTCTAGGAACGCCACATCGGCACCTGCTTCCACAGCAGCTTTTAATCTGCTAACCGCCTCCTCGTAACCCCGCGACTGCAGCGCGTCAGTGCGCGCAATAATAACGATATCCGAGCCCATGCGTGAGCGTGCAGCGGCAGCGGCCCGGATGCGAGCTACGAATGTAGGCGTATCGACGAGCTCCTTCCCGCCGAGATGCCCGCAGCGCTTAGTCGTGACTTGGTCCTCGATATGGAATGCTGCTACTCCCTGGAGAATGTACTTCTCGGCAGTACGGGCGACCATCAGGGGTCCGCCAAACCCGGTATCGGCATCTGCGATCACCGGAACGGCACGGTCGAGGCCGGCGATCATTCCGGCATTCGTCGCCATATCGTCGACGGTTGTAAGACCGAGGTCCGGCTGCCCGAGGCGAGATGCAGCTGTTCCTGCGCCCGTCTGACCCGAAGTCAGTCCAAAGATATTCGGGAAAGAAACCCACTGGCTTGCGGCTTGGGGAGGCGAGGTCCTACCATATACAATGCGTCAAAGCCTACGTTCAGCGCCACGCGTGCCGTAAGTCCGTCATGTACGCCCGGACATATAACGGTCTTTTCTGGATCAGCTAGCATCTGCCGAAGCCTCGTTGCAGACTTAGTCTGGGCCATTGGGGATAACTGATACGGAGTGGTAGTTTCGTAATCTACAGCGCGCGATTGTCTAAATTGTCATAAAGCGAAATCTTCTGTAAATGCTACCTAACTTGGATTCACCGAGTCCAAGACGCTCATTTGCATCTACATCATATTACATAGTATCTAATCTAGAAACTTTTCATCTTCGCCTCTCCGTCCTCGGAACTCCCGGTTCATCTGGAACTTAGGATCTTTGCTCTTTAAAAGTACCCGCTTTATACTTGCGCGGACTGGATCCAAGGGACTACGACTACTATTTAGAGAGCGGATTTCCCCGGAAATAACACATCTACCTTAGGTACCGTACATTAGGTAGTTAAGTACGTAACTCGGAATATTTATAAAATTTGACAGATTCTATCGCCCCTTACGTGGACTATCCCAGCCGCCATTTGCCGGCTCCGGCGAGTTGTCATAAGAGGGCATACTGCCGGATGTGACATGAGCTCTCTGCTGGGGTATAACCTATTTATAATTCATGAGAAAGATGAACCTGGTATATGTATGTTTATGTATGTTCGTGTTTGTGTTTGCGTGTACCATGACTACCTACTTTACTCATAAGTTGTTAGTTATGAGACCGTTTCGTGTAAAGACTAGGGGTGGATTCGTGTCGCACTGACGACTCGCTGTCACAGACATGCGCAGGTTTCCTTGTAAATGATCACTTCAATCATACGAGTCCTTTCATCGAATATTTATTGATATTTCTCCACAATGCTTTACAATATTATGAGTAATAAAAAGTGGTATGATGTTTAGGATGGACAAGCTGTCTCGGCAAAAATTTCAACTCTTTAGAACTAGTCGAGAATAGGTGTAATGGCTCATATGAAGCTGAAAACCCTTCGGAGCTAAGTCAACATGGAAATTAAATCAATAAAATCGTCTACGTAAGGAAAAATAAAAGCAGACTCAGCTCAATGTTTCAATTGCGGCTGAAATGGAGAAAAATGAATGCATGAACGGGGAGTCGAACCCCGAGCTCAACCTCACAACTGGAAGATGGAAGGGTTGAATGTTACCGCTACACCATTCATGCTTGAATTGTTGAAATATTTGCCTACTATTTTAGTATATAGCTCCGGCTTTGTGTGCGACATCGGCTAATCGATTAAAGCAAGGTTGAATCCATATTAGGGTGTCCCATATTTAGACCAATCAGAACTGACACTTCGGGTGATAGTTTCTTGTACATGTCACTTACCTAATGATTCACACTATTGTCCCTTAAGAGAATATGGCATCAGCAGCTCCAAATAAAGAAATAAAGAAATGGAGAGAGTAAGCTGAATGATTCCTCAACTCACTCTTGAGCTGCTAAGATACCCGCCACCAACCCTATACAGGTGCTCTTACGGGTACTAAGCCCGGGTATGTAAATATACCTAGGTAGTTATCTGAGAAGCCATATGAACTCGCGTTGTTCTCCTAGAGTTAAAGCCTTGGATAGAAAAGAAGTATCGAGCTTATCTACCAATCTAGAGATGAAGGTAATAGTGAAATGAAGGCTTTTGTTATGGCTTTATTTCACTGTACTAGGATTGTGAGTTCGTTGCTTGATTCGACTAAAGTCCTGGGTGTTATAATAGAATGAATAATATCTTTGACCTAGTTAGTCGGATATCCGTTTCAATTCCTGGATTATCATTAAAGCTTAGATATCTGCATGCGTGATCTGTTTCGGATTTCAGCCCCATCATTATAAGCTGAGAACTCTGCTTTATGTTCCTTTCTAAGGCATTGAATTATAGATTGCTACCTAGGAGTAAGGGTAAAGGGTATACATAACAGGGCAACGTTTGAATATTGGATAAGTTTCGTCTAGGAACTGCCAGATTATCGGAAGAGAATAATACGATTTCCTAGTCGCGATATATGTAGATCGACTCACATTTCTCAACTAAAATGATACGATTTACTTGGCCACTCCTTGGAAATTGAAAAATGTAAATAAACTGACTAGGAACTCGGAACACATAATAGTCACATGAATATATGATCAAGCGAGAAAGATGTAGGCGAAAGGCCTCGCGGTAGTTAGTGGCAGACTGTCGTCATCGCCACGGAGAATAAACAATATGCTTAGCTGCGTAGTTTCAGAAACATGTGTTTTAGCCCCGAGCACGTGGCACTTGTCTAGCCTGGTTACCTATTGTTCTGTTACAGCTACTGAATACCCGCCATTACAATTGTATGTATTACACTAAAAGGCAGATAATTTCCCATATTCCCGGCGGCTCTCGTGGAGGCAAAGAACCGGACGGGGTTCTTAGATCTCTAGCCGCTGGAGTACAAGTACATTTGTCTACATAGGTAAAGGATCTGCGTATTATTAACTGAAGCACAATGGATGTGGCTGATCGTTCTTGGCTATAAAAACACTAACAAGCCTTTAGCGGGGGTTGGCAAAGAAGCTACGAAAGAGGTCGGAAATTCCCACGGTGGTAAACCATGTAGGGGCCAAATCTTTCAAAATAATGGATGGAGCTCGCGTGTCCGTCTCCGCTAGAGATGAGATTAAACATCACTTGATGAGGGGTTATTGCCTACTAGTTTGGGGTACGGCTTGCGTGATGATCAACGGCGGGATAGGAGTGCACTTGTGATGGCCTTCTCAATAAGGTTGCTTGGCGTTGGATCACAGATCACCTTAACCTCAATCGAGTCGGTCCTTGTTCGACGTCTTCTTCTGCGTTTCACATTTAGGCTCTTGGCTTTTGGGCACACCGGTGGCTAGTGAGACGACGCCGCAACGGCGTTGCCCGTCTAGCTTCTGAGCTTGGCAAAAAGCACATAAATAGCCCACTGCCAAGTGTCGGTTAGTAGGGTTGACGGTTTTCGTCTCTAAAATAGTCATTCTGCTCCTCCTGAAATATTCGTTCCTCTTGGGCTATTGTAGGATGACTTGGCAGTCTTACATGGAAAATGTTTTCAGAGACACTAATAAGAAGTTGCGAAACGGTGACAGAGGTTCCGACTTAGGGAGAACCGGCTGCAGGGAGCCTTCGGATCACTTAACTGGTAGGTCGAATTTGTTACGCCTGGTCGGTTGGCGGGATACAGGCTGCCGGGCTCTTTTTACCGAATCTGAATGCGATCATCGTTGAGATCTTCAATATCCCCGTCGACCATCTTCAGATTTTGGCCTGTTAACGATAGTGTTGATCCGGAGCATAGTCTCTTGGTCCGGTTCTTCTCGGTTCTTTCAAGGGCTCTACCGTCCTACTAACATAACTGGAAGGTCAAGTATGTAGTACAATCCCTCACGTTGGTAGAACGGCAAGCCAAGCCTTAGGTCGGGTCCAAGCCGTGCAGTCGTACATTGGGAGCCGAGTAACCGTGGAAGCTTACATCAATTACATCCGTCTAACCTAGTGTACTTTGGCAATATTACACTTGTCTACTGTTAGAAGCTTAATCGTAAAACCAGACGAAAGCTGTATATTATATGGATTAATGATCGAGGCTAGTCGAATAATAAAAACGTCCTCGTTACCCAAGTCCGAATGTTTATGCCTACTATAATCGATCAATATACTATCATTACCTATACTTTATTTTACTTCTCCACTCAGCTTTGCAAGAATCCATGGTCATATTTGAGTATACATTAGACATATCACAGCGGCTCTCTGCGTGAAAAAAAAGTGTAAGGTTTATCAACAACAGCCAATCATGTTGGCATATCGGCAATTAAGCCATTGATTAGGCATATTGTGACGGGTTTAGGCGTGTAAATTCCCACCACAGAGAATATATCAGCTGCAGATGCCAAGTCTTTTTAATTACCAGCAGTATGTGCCATGCAAGAGCGGTAAGTTCCAAATTGCCGTTGCTTCCAGATAGTGAGTTTGTTCATACTGCCGGGTTGAAGCGATATGTAATAGAAATATAAGCTTCTTTTTGATAAAACCGTGATATTGAGCAAAGCCGCGGCGCTTCTAGAAGCTCTAGACAGTGAAGAACAATTTTGCGACAATGCGACCTATATAAAAAATATCTTGTTGCGCGTTCGCTACACCCTCATCATTATCATTGTAGCATTTACGGGCGTCGAGGTTCAAGTTCCCCCCCGATGTGGAATCGTGGATAGGTAGACTAACGGAATCGACCCCTGATCTGCAGCTACATTATGAATGCCGAGAAGATAACGGCTTGGGCTTTTAGAATAGTTGTTTTCTTTTAATTTTCCATTTTGCATCGGGGTATGCGAACAAGTATTTATCGCGTTGCAGTGGCATTGCATTCCCTGTAGCCTCGGAGATAGTATAAACTTGATTAATTACCACTCTTATCCTGGCATTTGCTATGTAATAACACTGAAAAAACGAATTCTCGTTAGAAAGACAAGTGATGGAGACGCTAGGTCTTGGTTTGAGACAAATACTACTGGCAGCAAATATGAAAAGTGAGAAATGCTTAAGCGGTTGGCAAGATTGACGTAATTGCTGCAATCTCACCGAACTGGATGATGACTGGCGAGACATTCGAAACGATAGACCCACAGCTTACGAATACTGGCCTGTGCTACCCCTGGTTTTTGTGGTTAGGGCGGGCTGGGAGCTGGGAACATCGAGACAAACGACGTAGTGATCTTCATTAGTACATGACCGAGCGGAAAACCCTTTCAAGGAGCGGAAAGCCCTTTCAAGGATTTCCCGACTTGGCTAGCCGGGATCTGAATTTGAATAACTACCTACCTAACCTAAGATAACAGGTAACTGCCTTACATAGTACAAGTACGAAATAGATAAGATGAGTTACGTTAAAGTCTGAATTAGAATCTAGAAGATAAAGTTTATGAAGCAAGGGAAGAAGCTTTTCCTATTCTCGTGTCTAGACCTCCCAACTAAAGTAATTCGTCTGATATCCAAATGAAAAGTAACTAAAATAAGGTACGCGTAACCTTTCTACTTTAATAGTTCTAGACTGTCAAAGTTAACCTTACTGCGTTTGACAGGGCTAAAAGT